GTAGGGAGCAGTAACGTAGTATTGGCATTTGTGCATCATACCTTTGATTCATCAAGCATTAAGTCTGTTTTAGACTATAACATAAAATCATATAAGAAAATGGTATAACAAGAACTTACATGAAATGATTGTGTACAATATTAATATAAGAAGTTTTGTCTATTACATTGTCACATTTTGGTATCAAAATATGTTATGTGATTCTGCGCATTACATGCTAAAACAGTCATTTTTTAAAATTATTATGTTGGGGTACATGTACTATTAACCTAGTTAGTTTTACCCTCGTTTTACTTTTGCTTTAACAAAGACATATATATTTATGATGGATAAGAAAATTCTCCCGTTATATGCTGCTTCCGTTACAACATTTCTTTTAATTCAGACAAGCAAGAAAAAAGGCCAACGAAATATGTGGTCTAAAGCTTGGCTTCAAAAAAGACAGGAAGGTCGTGTTGTATGTTGTAAACTGAATTAAAAGAAAATGATTCTGAAAAATATAGACAATTTTTAAAAATGTGTAAGCCACAATTTAATAAACTTCTTGAACTGATTCGAGAAGATATTACCAAACAGGATACCAAATTGTAACTGCGCATGCGTGTATACTAATAATTGGTATCAAAATAGGACACGTTCTAATTTCTATAACATTTTTTGTTAACAATTTTGTTTTCTGTTTTACATTATGACAAAACTTAGTATACCATTTTCTTATATCATTTTATGTTATAGTCTAAAGCAAACTTTAGTGTTAAGAGAAGCTGGTTTGGAAAGTTGATTTCCCCAAAACTAATGGATTTCTTCTCGGCTTGGGTAAGATTTATTGGCACTTTCTGCAGTACAATTGAGTTTCCGATAGAACGCCTTGTCGATATTTTCAAAAATTATATTGTCGGATTTTCATTTGTTACTAATTTTGTAGTCGACCCATCGAGCAAAAAGATAAAAGAGGGAATCTAATCGTTATGAAAAGGAGACCAAAAAAGTGGCCTCTGATGGCGGACATATCCGGAAATGCAAAGGCGCTAAATTTAAATTTTCCAACACTTATTAACAATAGCTATAAAATATTTTTCAGACGAGAAAGTTTTAATTAAATATTAACTATAATAGTCTAAAAAGTGACACAATTGGTAAAAGATTTCAATATAAATAAAATTTCATGTGACAGTTGGGACAAACAATAACATAACCTAACTAAATTTGACTTCTTAAACAAGGAAAGAGACTGTCTATCCTTGTCTAAAGTGGCCTCTCAAGATGGCACTTCCTGTCTATCAATATGTTTACCCCCACTACCTTTACATTCCCTCTTTTGTCTTATTGCTCGATGAGTCGACCTGAGTAAACGGGTAGTTTTTGTTTTAATGCATCCAGGCACTGTTGTGTTGTTTTCTGGATTATATTGTAAGTGTCTTGTGGTGATTAGCATTATTTCTTCAGGTCTTCTGATTAATTTTCTACTTGTTGTTTCTCGAACGTATTCCGTAATTTGACCACTTTCCCTACGTAATGATTCAATTTTCGTTAGTATCCGTTTTTCCCAAGGTGCAAGTCTGTTATCTATCCTTCTGATATTACGTCGTATTTTGGTCTTAATGCCCATAACATTAGCAATTGCTATTGCTGCACAGTAAATCAGCGTGTACGTATATATAGCTACCAGAGAACGTTAAAGATTTAATTTTTAGATGGTTTTATATTGCGGGGAAGAGGTACCTCTACGGAGAAGAGATTTGGATTGAAGAAATTTAAGTATTTGGAAATTGAAAATTGAAGTTTATAACATGTTAATATTTAGAAAACAACAGTTTTCGCTATTTTATTTACAATAAATGTCATATCTGGCCAGTGTGCTACTGCTTTAATTTTATTTTCGCAACCTGTTGCACTTCTGATGGGCGTAAGAAACAAAAATAAAAAATAAAGGTAATGGATTTCCATATATCACGGGTTAATGGAACCAGAAATTTTATGACAAACGGAATATAGGGAATGTATTTCATGACGACTTTGTGAATATATTGTAGGAACGAGAATACAGCGAATAAAACGTGGCGCATAAAATGAGATGAGAATCTACTTATTCTTAATATGAAAATGATATTATGTCGGTATGAATTTTTCAATTCGCTGATTTAATAATTTAAATGAGCATATTTACAATGACTCAACAAGGAATTAAAATAATTAAAAATTGTTTTAATTAAAAGTACGAGCTTTAATTAAAAGAAACGTACGAGCACGTCAAACACAGCATAAAAAAGGCGGCATTAGAATCTTTGGGGAAAGTTGAGAAAAGAAATAGCCAACACAAGGTAAAAATAAACAAAGAAACCAAAAAATGTATTAAGGAGAAGAAAATTCTATATATGAAAAGTATGAGCACCCAATCCCCAGAAGACACACAGAAGTACAAAGAGAAAAACAGAGAAGTAAAACGAAGAAGGGCAAAAGAAAAGAATGAATAATGGGAAGAAACATGTGCACAAATTGAACAATACATAGGAGGAACAAGGAATTCGGAATCCTGGAAAATACTGAAATCTTTAAGGAAAAATAACAACGAAGAGGTCCAAATACAATATATATCAGAAAAAGAGTGGGAAGACTACTATAAAGAACTACTCACAGAAAACTTCCCAGATTTCATGAGACAGACACAGAACAGAAACATCAACAAAATCAGAATGAAGAACTGATTGAGATAACATTAATCAAAGAAAGAATGCCATAAAGTCTTTAAAGAATAAAAAATCAGGGGGACTAGGAGGAATCGTTAATGAACTAATTAAGTACGAAACGGACAAACTAAACATAATTATACACGAAATGTTCAGTAACGCTATAAACCTGAACGAAATACCAGATGAATGGTCCAAAGCATATATAACCTCGATACATAAAAAGGGAGATAAGAAGAAATGCGGGAACTACAGAGGCATCAGTGTGATAGCATGTATGGGCAGGTTATATGAAAAAAGACTGAAAGGAAAACTGGAAAAATCTATCTCAAATAAAATCGGAGGGGATCAGGCGGGGTTTGCGGCAGGAAGATCTTGCATAGATCACATATATACACTCTAAGAATTAATTGGAAAAAAATGGCAAAAAGTAGACCAGTACACATGGCATTAATAGATTTAAAAAAGGCATATGACATGGTTCCCAGAAAACATATATGAAACACGATGAAGGAAATCGGAATATCTCAGAGGTTAATAGAAGCCGTAAAAAACCTTTACAACAACAACAAGGTAAGAGGTAAAACCGGCAATAAATACTCCTACGAATTTAAGACCACAAAAGGCTTATTGCAGGGATGCTCTACATCTCCGACACTGTTCAAGATATTCCTCGAACAAATATTAAAACCATGAAAAAAGAAATGTGCAGGGATGGGAATACCAATCCGAGACAATTTCCTGTACACATTAAGCTTTGCAGATGACCAAGTGTAATGGCTCAAGATAAAGAAGATCTGTGGTATATGCAGATTAGCACAGACAAGAACATATATAAATTTTTTCCCACGGTCGGTAAAATTTTCCCAGCCCCAACCGGCGCAACATCTACTTCCTACATCGTTTGATGTTTGAATTATACCGACCGTGGGAAAAAGCGGCATCCTTTGATGTTTGCACCTGTTCAGGTGTTCGAGTGACGTCACGCTCACTGACAAGTCAAGTCATTTCGTCTCTTTCGTCTTCTTCTTTTCGTCAGCTGATCTGTTTTTCGTCCCATACTACCTTCTTTTATTTACTAATTGAACGTCCACTGCTTGACAGGAGAACCCAATATTTTATAAAATGCTACATATAAGCTTGCATTCTTTCGTTTAGTACTCTATGTATATTATATTCAAATTGCGGTTGAGTTTACCGAAAGTACAAGCTGAATATAGCCGCAAATGTCAAAAATATTTGGGTTTGTCAGTGTTGGGATGTTTTTATTATGCATATGTTGTATTCTTCAAATATAAAGCGAGAAAGCTTTTAAAAAGTACATTTTGATTATAATATTTTATGAATTCTACAATTTTTAATTTATATGAAACAATATGGAGTAAATATTTGTCTCTTTCGAGATTAATTGCAAACATCTGTTGCAATCTGGCAACTGCTGATTTGACGATTGCCAAATATATCCCCTAATATATCAAGGGGTAATTGCCAAAAAAAATTCTAATAAATAACTGCATTTAATCTCCAAATAAACAAGTATTTACTCATTCGTGTTTTATATAAATAAAAAATTGCAGAATTTATAACATAATATAAACAAAATGTACTTTTCTACATCTTTATCATTTTATATTTGAAGCATACCTACAGCATCTACATTATAAAAACATGTCAACACTGCTATACCAAAATTATTTGTTCCATGTTTGACATTTGCGGCTATAATCAGCTTATACTTTCCGTAAACTCAACCCAAATTATAATTTTAATTATCCCCTGGGATATTACCCAATAAAGAAAGAAGAAGATTAAACTATAATTTTATATAACTTAAATTATCTATGAGTTAAATCACAAAATAACAAACAATCAGAATGCCCACTCTCGGATGCCGCCTTTGAAGTTTGTCAGCACACAAACGCCATGTTTTAGACGGAAACCTAGACTCGCATTGAGAAATTTGTGCCAAGCTACGACAGAACTGTAATTTAAATTTTTAGAGATTAACAATTTAGTACATTTGAAATAATTTAATCAATTCTTCAATTAAAAATACGAATAAAATAGTGCATATTATGTCTATAGTTACCGTAGCCGTAAATAAATTAAACCGGGTTCATTTGTCTAGGTATGCACACAAGATAAAATAGCTGAACACTGAATAGCCATGGTTCCGTTTAAAACATGGCTGATTCCGTCTGCGTGAACGAGATGCGCTTAGTTTTTTAAGCAGAGTTGGCATTCTGATTGTTGCAACTGACAGCTGACTTAATTGACAGCTAATTTGAGGCTATCTTCACTCCTAATCCTAACCTCAATTAATATTGGTTATGTTATCTGTGATGATATTTTGTACCTTTTTAATCATTTAATGTACTAATAGTATATGGTATAAACTTGCTAAAAATGTTTTATATAATTGGCTTAGGTTTAGGAGATCCCAAAGATATTACAGTCAAGGGACTAGAAATAGTTAAAGGTTGTGACAGAGTGTATTTAGAAGCTTATACATCAATATTAACTTGTGGTAAGGAAGAATTGGAAAAGTTTTATGGAAGACCCTTAATTTTGGCTGACAGAGATTTGGTTGAATTGGGAGCTAATGATATATTGGCAGGTGCCGACGAAAAAGATGTTGCCTTATTAGTTGTGGGAGATCCTTTTGGTGCTACCACCCATACCGATTTTATACTTCGAGCAAAGGAAAAAGGAATCAAATTTCAAGTAGTTCATAATGCATCTATACTAAATGCTGTGGGTTGTTGTGGATTACAACTCTACAGTTTTGGTGAAACGATTTCAATTCCTTTTTGGACAGATACGTGGCAACCAGATAGTTTCTTTGGTAAAATTATTAACAATGTTAAGAATAGACTTCATACACTTTGTTTGCTTGATATTAAGGTAAAAGAACCAACTTTAGAGAGCCTGACAATGAAAAAGAAAGTATACATGCCACCAAAATTCATGACAGTTAGTGAAGCTGCTCTACAACTACTGCAGATAATAGACAAAAGGAAAGAGGCTGGTGAAGATACTGGTATAAGTGAAGAAAATTTATGTGTTGGACTAGCTAGAGTTGGATCAGAATCACAGCAACTTAGAGTTTGTAGCTTGAAGACAATGTCAACTGTAGATTTAGGTGGACCATTACATTCCTTAATTATTATAGGACCTTATATGCATCCTGTTGAAATGGAATATTTAGAACAATTTCGCATTTGCCAGCAACAATAAAGATATTTGTAGTATTGTTAAATATTTTTTAAATCCTTGTTTGTCAGATGTCAGTACAGTAGTGTGGAGATCTAGATTTGTTATAATTTTGTATCTGTGCCTTATAGCGTTCCCATTAATTAATTTTTTAATTATCGACAATATTTCTTATTTTGTTTTACTTTTATTTATTACTAATCCCACTTTAATTGCTTTGATATGTAATCCATTTGGATTTTTGGTTTATTCATTACAGAAAAAATATATGTTAACATACAGTTGTATAAATCTATCTCTATAATTGCTTACAAAGTAATTGAAACTTAAAGGTTAATTATAAATAAAACTAAATATTAATTATATTATATGAAACAAAATGAATTTTTTTTTTATTATTGAGTTAATGCCTCAACAACTAAGATCATTGGCATGGTACAGTTAGGTACCTAGTGTAGTGTGTGTGTGTAGAGTAATTGTCTTGATACTTAGTAAAGTTGATGTCATTGTCTTTTCTAAGAGACGCTAATTGTATCCGAACGTCTGCGGTCCCTCCAGTGAGTACCGATCGCACAAAATGAATTAAAATAAACAAAAAAGTACATATAACTTGTCCAGCTCTTTTTATCTGATTTTTAAATGAAGCTAAGCAGACACCAAATATTTCTATTTACAATTTTTAGTGCCCGCTTAATGGACAAATGCATACCGTAAAGCAGATCAACATGTCTGAGACTTCTGGAGGAAACATATAAACAAATAGATTAGAGAAGTTCAGTACAACAAATTAAACCATTTATTAATTTAAACGCAAATACTAAATCAGAGTTATTGCGTTGGGTTTTTAATAAATTCATGTTGTGTTTTTGAAATACCTATATAATTATGATTAATAATGTGTATATTTAATTTATATGAACAATATCTTAAAACATTTGTTCTACAATGTCTCTAATGTAGTAGAATGAACACTGTGGAGATCATACAATAGACTCAAATTCCACTTTTGATATGACCAAAGCATAATACACTGTTCATAAAACCCAAACATATAGTCTCAGACAATTACAAATGATAAAGTCTAAAGATGTTAATGATTTTACTGTTACTGTTGTACAAAATGCAACTGATCGTATAAACTTGTAGCATCATTTTCAACATTTAAATGTAAAATATTATTCTCACACCAAATGCTCAACCTTCTTGAATTAAAGTTATATCGTCATTTGAATCTATATATTTAATCAATTTCAAATAATTTGCAAACATTAGGAATCGCAATTTCTAAAATATTCTGATATATTGTTCCTGAACATATTAAATAACAAAGGTCAACAGTGAGATCCTTGGGGTACTACTGATATCACATGAAATATATCTGAATTAAAACAGCCTATTCATACTTGTTGTGTGCTCTCTTAAAAAGCTGCTAAACTATTGAAAGGATTGATGACTGAAGCCAAAGGCAATTTTTCTAATAGAATGTTATGATCTACTCTGTCAAATGCCTTGGAGAAGTCAGTAGAAATAGTATCCACTTGTCTAATATTCTCGAATACCTTAAGGTAAATGTACTAGTAGTTGACATTATAAGAAGAAAAAAAACATTATTTAGCCTCAAACCCATGTAGTTGAACTTAAATAAAAAATATATGTATATTCAGGTAATCCAATCCGTCCTAAATATTTAACAAATAAATTTTTGGACAATTCTGCTTTCTAAATATTTTTTATAAAATTTACAAAAATGGTTGCAAAAGTGCCACTAGTTGACACAACAAAATGAAAAAAAAATTAATAGTTGACACATCCAAGGTTTAGTAATTAACACCCAAATATATTTTTGATAATTTTATTAAGAATATGTAATTACAGGAGAACTTTAATGTTAGCCATCCACATCCACTGAATCTGGAAACTGATATTTTATTCTTTCTCCTGAAAGGAGTATCTGAGGTTGGGGCATCCTTTTTAGGATTTGATTGAAATGTTATTACACTCACATCTTTATCATTAATTCGAAATGAAGTTTTACTGTCATTTTAGCTACCAGATTCAACCTATGATTCATTATTATCACTTGATGATTCTTCCATTTTCTTACTTACTTTTTTTTCGTCACTTTCAGTTTCTGTTTTTTAACAAAGTTTTTTTCTTCTCTTTTCTTTTGTCTCTCTTCTGCTCTTTTCCATTTTTCTTCAAGAAGCGTGATCTTCTTATTTTCTTTATTTTTCATGATAAGTTTGCCATTCTTTTGAACTAGCCACAGAAGGAACTTTTTCCACTCCTCTTTTTTTTACTTCGGATACTCTGGGTTCAGGCCAAAACAGTATTCGTTTAAAAGGAGAGGGTATAATTTCATTTGATGTAGAAGGTGTAGGTAATTCTTCAATTGCTGAAGATGGAACTTGTGATTGTGTTAATGAAGAAGCACAAGTGTCTTGAATAATAGCAATATTGTTATGTTGAAGATTTTTCCTAGTGGGACTAGTGTGACCTTCCAAAACATCCGAAATGTTTCTACCTGTTTCAGCCTCAGATTGGTTTAATAACTCACCTATTTCATACTGTTCTTCGACTGGCTTATCAGGTTTGTTCTCTACGTAAATGTCTTCAATATTAGGGCTGTCTTCAACATTTGGTATGTCCTTAATATAAGTGGCATCTTCAATAATATTGTCTTCATCATCTGGTTCTTTCGCACCTTGTTTCGCTTTCAAATTGTTTATTTCTTCTTCTAAAAGACTGTATTTTATGCAAATGTTTTTGTAAAAGTGAAAGAGAAATAAACCTTCATTGTCATTGTTCCATTCTAGGCTTGTTTTGAAAAGAGCTAGTTTTTGTTTATCAATATATTTCTCTATAAAGTTTTTCCCTTGTTTCATTTCCTGCAATTCCTGCATTTTCTTTGAAATGTCTATTTTTCTCATTGTGAAACATAATCGCACCAACATCCCAGGGAACTAAGCCACATTTTCGGAAACCATTTTTTTTAAATTGATGGTACACATTTTAAATTGATGATTGAGGTAAACCTTTCCTCTAGAACTTTTTTTCAAAAGAGGACAGAAGTGAATTTTCCTTAAAACTGGAGAAGCCTGATTCTCAATCCGCCACTGGTGTACTGCATCTTTCCAACCCCCTTTCAAAGAACGAAATACAGCAACATCCATTGGCTGAAGCAAATGTGTTGCATTTGGATGAAGGGCTACCAATATAATACCATGTTCAGTGCAAAATCTACTATACTGTTTTTTAAAGAGGAGGAGTAAACGAAAAAGACAGATTTAGACTAAATGGATTATCTCGTTGCGTGTACGTCATTGTGCGCCAACGGCCGATATTCGTCTGACGGTCGTGGTTACTAACGTATCTAAAAGCATTGCCCACAAATTTTCTATCAACCGAAGCAAACGGATCTACAAACAACTTAAAGAGTCAGAAATCGATTTATGTATTAGAGGAAAAATAATAAAAATAAATAAATTTCACAAATGTCATTAGTGTCAATATGTCATAATTTAGTGGAGTAAACTTGCCTGCGGTTGGACCAATTGCAAACAAGCATTACGGCGCGGAAAATTTAAATTACTCCTCCCGGTTAAAAAACAGACCATAGTGTGTAATGGTCTCCCCTCCACTGGTTTCGGCTTGAGGGAGCGTGTCGGGGTGATTTTTAGCACCCTCGGACCATTCAAGGTCTGCCCGAGACTGAGGGCCTTTGTTTCAATTTTGTCCGACATATAAGATAATTATTCCACGGATATCCGTAGGGATCATTAATGTAGTGGTTTCACCTTACCTTCTACATCTTTATGCCGTTGGCCAAATTTTGGTTCTTTCGCCTTCGAGGTAGATTTCTCAACCTCAGGACAAAAAGGTGCCCTACCACTTACCAACTCGTACGCCCGAAGCCGTTGGTCAGTAAACGGGGGATGGCTTATACCGGCAATCACTCGTTGAAATTTTTCGCCATATCTGGCTACCCTCACTTAGTTTAGCCTGCAGACCAATGCAGTTGCCCAGGGTGTGGCACGTGGAGCCATAAGTGAGAGTTAGGTGTCTTATAAGGACCAGTTATCAAGAACCATCTCCTGTCTATGACGCTCGATGTGGTCGTTCCACTAAAAGGTACTACCTCTATAACACAACCCTCACTTCTTTGTATATGCAACCAATATTTTGTAATTTATGTAGTTCCTGATTATTGATTGGTTTTGTTTTAAATTCTTAGAGAATTTTATTGAGATTTGATTGCTTCTTTACAAGTTTGATTCCACCGTGGTTTATGTAGTCAAGATAAAAAGTGACTAAAATAAATCTTTATATGAATAAAATACGTATTGTACCTTAAAACTATATTTATTTTTTTTTATTTTCATGAAAACTGTACAAAACTTAATATAATAGTAAACTCTTCACTCTGATTCGCTTTCACTGGACTCAAAATCGCCAACTTCAATGGAAAATTTGTATTCTTGATCGCATCCTAGGTAAGCATCACTCATGAAATATAGCGTGTAGTTGTGATGTCCAGGACTAGGTGCTACGAAGTCCAATTTAACTCTTGCTTTTTGCTGAAGGGTTAACCTCTTAATAGATAGAAGTGAGTTGGATTTGGGTTCACCGATGACTACCCACCAGCCTTCCTCGCGTTTCTGCAACAATAAAAACAAATTAGACACCGGAAATGTTAGCAATTAAAAAAAAAACTGATTCCAACGCTTCTCAACAATTCGATGGCGCTTTCATGCCCATTTATTTGTGACAATTTTTCGTAATGTATTCCTTTAAACACTATACAGAGTGTTTCGTTAATAATTGGAAATATTTGAACTGTAGATACCTGGGCTCAAAATATTAAAGTTTAACCCAAATTACTTAAATAAAATGTGTCTCCTAACTGAACTACAGGGTGTTTTATTTAAAAACTATTTGTACCCAGTACTTTAAAACTATTTGATTGTAAAACTATGACATTGTCATACTTGGTAGGAAGTGTAGGTACACCCTACTAAATTACATTAAATACACGTTTCTGGCTATTACCAGAGGCGTACGAAAGGGTAAAATAAATGTTTGGCTCTCTCCAAATTCTACATGACTGACGGAATTGCTATTTTAACGCAATATTTCGATTCTATAATACGATATAATACGGCAAAGGTAGTAAAATTCCGTGGCTGCCTAAAACACCGGAATGTAATTCCTTAGATTTTTATTTCTGGGGGATACGAAATCACTGGTATACTTACGAAAATTAAATAATCATCAAGCACTGTACTTGGTTGCTTAAAGGTCAATTCAGACACATCATTCACCAGTCCTGGCGCCGAACCGAACAATCCGTCATACAAAATATTATTTAATAGAAATATGGCGCCGGCATTCACATTCATCAGGCGACGAACAGTTTCCCAGCTGTCAGATAGTTCTGTGACCAAACAGGACCGGTTCGGCGCCGAGACTATGACGGAACTGATGTGTCTGAATCGACCTTTAGACGGTTTTTATCTGTAGGTATTCGCTCAACTAACTGCCTACTTGATAATAGAGTCAAGTGGTGAATATGTTACGGTCAACGTACGAAATCAGCTTAATCTCAATATTGCCCAGTTATAATATCGAGATTCACCAGTCTAGATGGTTAATATCCAAAGATAAACGATCTTCAGCCTTCAATCGGACATTAACTGGCTAATCTCGACATTAACACAAGTGCGTAATCAAATGACATTCGTGCAAGAAGTATTGTTATTTGAAAGTGAAAATTTAAGTATACAATATGTCCAATGAATTTAATGACCGGTTTTACGAAAATCTTGATAAAATTATTTCCACAAAAAGAAATGGCAACAGTGCTTATTTATCTCGTGGAAAATATGATTTAATTTGTAATCAAGTGAAAAAAGGAAAACGACAAGCTAAGAAAACAGCGTTGTCATATCGACGTTCGACCAATACGATGAAGTGAATGTGGGAAATGATTTCAAACTTATTGTTCCTTTGCAAGAAGGTAAGGGAAATTTTTATATTATGTAAAAAAGAGGAATTATTTGAAATTCTGTATGAAGCACATTGTATTGTTCATGGAGGAAGAACAAGAATGTTCAATTTTTTAAATGATAAATACAAAAATATAACACAAGGAGTAGTAACACTTTTTTAAAATTCTCTTTACCCTGTCAGCAAAAACTCAGTTCAAAAAGAAAAGTCCTTGTTGTACAAATTATGATATTTTCTGAAATGAATCGTCGGTGTCATGTTGATTTGATCGACATTCAATCCCAAGCTGATAAAACATTTCGTTTCATCTTTGTATAACAGGATCACCTTACAAAATTCGTGCAATTAAGATCTTTAACTTCAAAGAACAATAAAAACAATAAAAATAAAAAAGAAGAATACACCACAAAGGTAAAAGTCGAGAGTCTGCAGAACGAATCAACAAAACTTCTATACCAAAAGAGAGTCAAAGATAAACTCGACAACTTGCACATCGTAGAAAGTGATGGAATCGAAGAAAGCTGGGCGAAAATTAAAGCAAGCATCCTAGATTCAGCAAAAGAAGCTGTAGGAGAAAGGAAAATTCTTAAAAATAAATATTTCCAAAAGCGGAAAACTCCGTGGTTCTGCGCAGAAGTGAAAGAAAAATGCAAAGAAAAAAAGAAAGCTTACTTAAGATACATGTCTAACAAAACACCACAAGAATACAACAATTACAAAAAGATAAGAAACGAAACAATAGCACTAGCAAGAAAAATTAAAAACGAACACTGGGAAGGCTTCTCAAAAGAAATGGAACACGACTTTTACGGTCTACAAAAGGAAATATGGCGTTTCATAAGAGGCCAAAGATCAGAGATTAAAGACTTAATCGAACCGAAACACATAGATAACGACACATGGACTGAATACCTAAAGAAGCTTTATAATGACGAACAGCAAATAATGTTAGAACCAGAAACACCAGAAATCATTACAAACGAGGAAGTCGAGATAACCGTACAAGAAGTAAACCAAACTTTAGAAAAACTGAAGAACAGAAAAGCTGCAGGTAAAGATGGAATTCCAAATGAATTATTGAAATATGGTGGAGAAGCATTAACAGAACAGCTAACAGCACTAATTAACAAAATCATCAAACATAATAAAATACCTGAAGAGTGGAAGAAAAGCGAGCTTATCCTACTATACAAAAAAGGAGATAAAAAACAACCTGAAAACTTCAGAGGTATCAACTTATTAAAACCACTTTGAAGCTTACAACCAAAATATTGACAAGGCCAAATAAATCACAGAATTACCTTAGCGGATGAACAGCAGGGTTTTCGCACAGGAAGATCGTGCACAGATGCAGTATTCATCATAAAACAGATTACCGAGAAAGCACTAGAGTATAACAGACCAGCATTCATATGTCTAATAGACTTGAAGAAAGCGTTCGATAAAGTAAAGCTTTAAGATGTAATTCACCTTCTTTACGATAGAGAAATTCCACTAAATGTTATAAAAACAATAATAGAGAACATTTACCAGAACAATATGGAAGTCAGAATAGATGACCAGCTTACAGATCCAATAGATATGGGCAATGGAATAAGACAAGGAGACTCGCTTAGTCCAACGCTATTCAATCTAATCATGGATGAAATCATCAATACTATTAATAAAGGAAGATGATACAAAATGGGGAACAAAGAAATCAGAATACTCTGCTATGCAGATGATGCGGCCCTAATTGCATCCAATGAAGACGATCTACAAAGACTAACCCATAGATTCAACACAAGGGCAAAGGACTTTAATATGGTGATCTCTACACAGAAAACTAAAACAATTGTAATCAGTAAAGAACCAATTAGATGTAAACTGGAAATCGACGGTATCAGCATTGAGCAAGTCATGGAGACAAATTACCTAGGAATTACACTGTCTAGCTACGGAGATGTGGAGAAGGAAGTGAAAAAATCAAGTACAAAAGGCTAATAAAATAGCAGGTTGTCTTAATAACACGATGTGGCGCAATCCCCACATTAATACCGACGTGAAATCAAGAATCTACAAAGCAACAATAAGACCAATAATGACATACACTTCAGAGACAAGACCGGATACCTCCAAAACTCAGCAACTACTAGAAACAGCGGAGATGCGTTTACTGAGGAGAATTACAGGAAACATACTGAGGGATCGAATGAGGAGTGAAGAGATCAGAAGAAAATGCAATATACCAGAAATAAATGAGTGGACACTGAACAGAAAAAAGGAATGGAACGAACACATAAACAGAATGGAAGAGACCCGATTAGTCAGAATAGCGAGGGACAAATCACCAAAAGGTAGAAGAAGTATCGGGCGACCACGCAAAAGATGGAGTGATAACCTCCAATAGAGGCATTAATCGACATTGAACAAGCATTTTGCTTATAAAAAAGAAGAAGAAGAAGAAGAAGATTCTATTCTGGGAAGGGACCTGGTGCTAGTTTATAATAAACGTGTAACAAAAGAAACAATATTCACTTATGATATACATACCTGCGGAAAAAATGGAGCAATAACAGGTCCGCTCACTTCATCCTCTCTTTCCAACTGAACAGCTACATGTACCGACGATCCTGAATGGATCTGGTCTTTGTCGATGACTTCATAGGTAAGTTCTATGTTGGGATATCGGTTACAGAATTTAGCTACGTCAGCCATTTGTGTTTCTGTCATCTGGAGCAATTTCGATCGATCTTCGTCTTCGAGTTCCATAATATCGAATACTGTTTCAACTCCCTGCAATTAAAAAAATATACAATGAAAAAGACAGGAAATATTCGATTCCACGCAAACAAATCCTATGTATCTGTTGATACGTATTTCGACCTAATAGGTCTCATCATAACAGCTATTCATAGGAGTTCTCAACGTGAAAAATCAATATTTTCTGCCTTTTAAGAAGCAACAATAAATGGCTTCAATACGGACGCCATAGCGACATCTAATACAAAATCCGTAAAATAGTTTTCGAAACACAATTCAGATTTCTGCTTATAATCTGAGCCTTCTAAAAATTGCAAGGCAAACAGACGTTGATAAAAGATGTTAAAAAAATATACAATATACTACTAAAACTGGCACTTCTAAGTTAGCTAACAGGAAAATTTAACAAAACACACCAAAACTCTCCTACAGACTTATAAAGCCTACATTCGGTCCGTCATAGAATACAGATCGAGCATCAACTGCTTCTTAAATGCCTATCAGTATGCACAGAAGTCTACAGTATCTCAAATATTCCCACAATAATCGATATTAAGAGTGTAGGCGCAAAATTTCGGCCAATGCTTGTTAAAGGCATTTATTTTTTTTTTTCGAATCCTGAAAAAACTATTAAATATTTTTGAAAAATTTAAACGCCGAATAAAAGATTACATTATTACCGAGGGCCGAAAGTTCCTTAGAATAAACAAAAAGTTTCTTTTGAATAAGATATTTTAAATTAAAAATCACACTTAATTTTCTCTTCTTTTTCACCCCTGTAATTTACTAAAATAAACATTATAGAAGTTTTCAGGGACATTTTTAATGCACAGGCTACTCAAAGACTACGTTTTTTGGGAATCTTGGAAAGGATCTATATAACCATAGTGGCAAATGAGAAAAAAGCATCAAAAATAGTATTTAAAGAAATGTAAGACGAAGTTAAGTTGAGAAGACTGGATATCAACTCAAGAAAGACCAAATACTGAAAGAAATTAAAACACATAAAATAAAATATGTTCTGAATAAGTTAAACTTAAATAGTTAAAATAAAATTTACCTTATCTGTGCATCTTTTGACAACATCTATGTTAAAGTGAGGTAACTGTTTAAGATACGAGTCCTTACTCCACATCGCTTGCGTGACCATTTGTGCCAATTCCATAGCAGCTACAGCAGGCGAAAGCCAACCGTTGGAACTCAGAACGTCTACGCAAGCTTGAATCAGTCGTATGGCCTTCGATAGCACCATTTCTGTGTCCCCTTGAAGTTCTGCTCCTAATTGTAAACGGCATAAGTGAGCCTAAAACAGAAATAAATAAATATATAAAACATATTTTATCATCATAAAATACTAAAAAATAGTAAAAAAATACTAGTATTCTAGGTAGTGCAGACCAAAGTGAAAATTTTTACAGAGAGTCGGGAAAACATCTTTTACATTGACAAAAGAATATTTAAAAAGACTTTCTTTTCATCCAAGAATACATGCCAACATTTTACACTTGACGATGATTGAAAACAAATGATACTTTGAGCTCTAGTAAAGCTTTAGTGTTTTTTAAACTTTTTCCATATCTATTTATATTCATAAAAATTGTTGCGGCTTATACTTATCGCTAGCCTTCTGTTCATGTAATAAATCTTGTTTATTATGTTTATAAACTATTGTTTATATCGTGAATTATATTTATAATAAACATATTACACGAGTTCATCACTTGACTTCCTCCTATTTTATTTTACTCAATAAAACGTGTTGCTTATTGCTTGTGATTGGACATGTTGCATAAGATGTTAAAAAAATACTACAATTTACTTACTGATTATTTTAATGAATAGATATTTTGCTTAAATGGAAACTCATGGTTACCAATCTGAGTTTTGAAAAACTAAACCGAAGTTAATAGTTTATAGTTACCTGCAACAGTAGATTGGTTTTAACGTGGGGATCATTGAACTTGGGTTGACCGCCAGAGGGTGACGTTAATTTGTTGGGTAGCTTCTGTGATAGCTGTCGCAGTATATTGTCTTCTCGATGACGAACAGACACATCTTCATACTCGGCTGCAGACGAAATGATCTCCAACAGTCCTCTAATCTTCGTTTTACTGTTCAATGATAAACTGAATAGTTCTAGAAAAAAAAATAATTTCAGTAAAGTTTTTTTACAGAAGAATGCGAAAAAGGAAAAAATAATTTAATCTATACAGTAATAAGTACATGATTTTTTAACCTATCTTTATCATATTACTTTTGAAAGATCAAAATAAATGTCACAATTATATGCTTTTAATACAATTTAACTAAAAATATTGCTGCTGAAAAACTATTTTAAATCATTTAGATTGTAATGACGGCTGGAATAAAAGGGAATTCCTACAAATAAAAATACAAGAAATAGAAGAAAATTTTAACAAGGGCATTAAGAATTTTTATCAAGAAGCAATAGAGCAGAGTAAGCGAGGGAAACCGCATACAGTATTTCCCAAGTCTTGTAAAGAAGAAATGGTACGAGGGACATCAGATATCTTAGATCAATGAAAACAATTCGAAACAGTATTAGGGAGTGAGAATTCAGACACAGCTGAAGAAACTATTATGGTAGATCTAAAATAAAATCAAGAAAATGTGAAAGTATAGTAGAGTAGAGTATGTATTTAAATACATAACAAATACAAATACTGCTTGTAGCAAGTCAAAAAAATACATAGTATATAAAAAATGAATATAACACGTAACTTAAATATATTACAAACAAGAACACATTTTAAACAGAAAAAGATTTATGACAAAGTCACGGTAAGCAGTTCAGTGGATGTTTTGCAATGAGTCATATTCTGAGCACTAAAAACAATGTTTCGATAGAACTTTATAACTTTATCGAAACTATTACAGCTTTGCTGTTTAATACTTTTTGGTAAAATATTGTATACATAGTTATAATTAAGGCCATTTTTTTTTCTGAAACAGTAGTGACAGTTTCGCGTATTGTGAACGTGGGCATCAGACTGTCTTATTAAATGGGTACGTTTTATGTGAATTTCAGTTAGAACTGAATATCAACAGAGTAGGTAGCGGTATAATTTTGAATTTGATAAAGAAAGGTCGGCAGTGTTCTAGATAACTAACCCCTGCTAAAATCCTGATAGCTTTCTTTTGCATTCTAAAAATTTAAAGTGTATTTGCTGAATTGTCTCATATGATTACAGCATAGTTTAGGTGAGAGTGAAATAAAGAAAAATATGTTAACAAAGGTCCTGTTGCTGGACAGCGAGCCCTTAGACCAAATTTCCTCAACCTTCTTCACTGTAGAAGTACTTAATGTCCACCCGTGAGCATTTTGAAAACAGTTTTGGATTGCTCTAGCCGTAAAGAACCGATTTTGCAAAAAAGTGCGTTGTAGAGAACGGTCTTCTCTGGCCGTCGTGATTCTTTGTCTGGCCACTTCTCTTTGACTACTTCCATTATCAATAAAAGTGAAAATTTGAACAGATCTAGCAAAACCTCTCAGCCATAGTTTTAAATTTAAAAATTGCATAAGTTCACTCTTTGAACAACTGTACACTAATGAAAGGTTTCTGAAAACCAGAACAGCCATATTACAAGAAAAAGAACGTACAAACAACAAATACATTCTTCGAAGTCGTAAAACTTCAAATTATTGAAAAATTCATATAAAATCCCAAGGTGGCCTCTTTTTAATGATGTGCAGGGTATACCGGGTGGTGAATCATCAAACGGGCCATAGGAAAAATGTAAAATTTTTAAATTGTTGAATTGCTGCTTCCCTAATTATTTTAGATCAAAAGTCATAAAAAACTATTTGTAGAGGACTAAAATCTGAATTAAAAACAAATGTTAAAACCGTTCTACGAGTCAAATGTACTTCAAAATTTTGCAAAAATATAATACATTTTTCAGGCCACCCCTAAAAGTTAGGCCACACGTAATGCAAGAATATATATTATGACGTGTGTGTTTTATCATATTGATGTCAGATGTTTGACAATTTGAATTGTCAATTTTTTTAATTTTATGATTAAATTATAAACAATGAATTTTACTAAATACTACTACTACTGAACAATATTACTTTGTGAACAATAAATTATATTGTTTACAAATCGATCAATATAATGAAATGTAATCAGTTGACGAAAAATCGCATAATGTTGTATTCAGGAAATAGCGCGAACCTTTTCCTGCCACTACCGGATCTTTATTTAACGTAAGATATTCTAATACACTAAAATTTAATTCCATGTTAAGTTATACAACAATTCAATGAATTCCAATATAGTGTTACTGTGATATTTATTCCTAATAATAATATATGATAATTTCTTAACATAAAACTATAACAAATGTTATAATCATTTTTATTATTGCTCTTTTCTCCTCAACTAAGTACATTTTTAATCAACTTATTTTTTTTTAACAATAAATCACAAAATAAAAATTTTGGCCATTTAAATCATAGATAAATATAATATAGTTGATTTAAATATTGTCAAATAGCTGAAACATCAATATGACAAAACGCAACACGTAATACACATTTTTTCACGGCGTCTGGCCTGACTTGTAGGGGTGGCCTGAAAAATGTATTATATTTTAGCAAAATTTTGGAATACGTTTAAGTCGTCGAACAATTATTTAACAGTTGTTTTAGATACATATTTGAGTCCTCTACAAATAGTTTTCCATGACTTTTGGTGTAAAATAATTAGGGAAGCAGGAATTCAACAATTTAGAATTTCCCATTGAGTTTCCTATGGCCCGTTTGACGTTTCACCACCCTGTATATACCTAACCTCAAACTGAGCCCCTTAAAATAAACCAGGAGGTCAGACAAGAAATTACCATAATATTAAAACTCTTTAACCAAGCAATAGAAAACATGTTTAAAAAGCTAGATCTAAATCAGTTAGATATTAACATAGATGTAGAGTATCTAAACCACTTAAGATATGCCGACGACACTGTATTTAAGTATATACAGTGAAAAAATACAAAAAATCTATTATAAAAAAATAGTCGATTTAACTCAACTTAAAATGCTTCATAAATCAATTCAACTATTATTCTTACCTATTGTAGTATAATTGATGTAATAATAAGCAGCGATCATTCCCAAATTCAAAGGTACGCAATCGATTTCATCTTCAATGCTAATACATTTGGACTGTTCCAAATCGGACAAGGTGTTCTCGACCAATTCCGATAAATGATCTGACAAATGCCTATGTGTAACACCTTGTAGATTGTAGTAGTTGGGATTTTGAGTCAAACGACGATACAAGAAGGTCCATGTTAAGTAATCTACGGCATCTTGTTTGTTCTCGATGGTTTTTGTCACGATTTCGGCGTTGAAATGATCATGTAGTCTGTGATCTAAATGGCTCTAAACAAAAAAAAAATATGTTTATTAAGATGAATTATTAAGAAATTTAAGAAAACTAATAAAATACCGGTAGATAATAGTCTTTGTTTGGCAATCAGATTCATCAACAAAAAAAAACAAGTATTTGCTGAAGAAATTAACCCTCAACTGGCGTTGTAAGGTGAGGCGGATCCCCAGTACTTTTTAAATCCATGTAAAACTTGTAAATTTAGCATTTATGCCTGAGCGCGCCATCTACATTTAAGTTGGGGCACTCGTAAGCCACTCCGATACGCACGTCATCTGTGATTCAGTGTTGCTCTGAATAGCTATCGGTAAAGTTCATTTGGGGTCTGTATGTTACCACGACGCTAATAGTGTTTTATTTCTAAAATAGCAGGTTCTTCCAAAAAAGTGTATCTCGGAGAGCCCAATAGATATAATAAAGTATAGATTTGATAGTGGTAAAAGTGACAAAAATTCGAACTAGTGATATTAACTTATATGACTTACCTCTACTGGTAACGGATCGCTCAAAAATTTCTTGAAAAAGTCTTTTTTAGAACTTTGGCACATCAGCACACACTTGGCATCATCGTCCTCAAGAGGTCTGTTGGCTCTTCCTACCATTTGCAGTACGTCCGTCACGGGATAGTCTTCATACGCGTGTACTTTACCATTGTAATATTGTGTATCCATAATGACAACCAAGTGACTGAAAATGTTGACGGCCCAACTGAGATCCTTCGTGACGACAGCCACTTGAACCGCTCCCGAATCAAATAGTTGTTCGACCAGACGAAGGTCGCTAGCAGTTAGTCCTTCATGCATATAGGCCACTCCTTGGGATAATGTTTCTTTTAGAGTCTAAAAAATGCGATATATTATTACTAAAAAGAAATAAAAATTCCTCAAGAATTAAGATCTATTTATTTATTTCTACGCACAACAGGCCGTTAAGGCCTACGGCATTTTTTTACAACATAATCCTAATATTAACTAATTACAATTATTTTAAACAAAACTTTAACTCAAAATGTATGTGTGTGTGTGAGTTTGTGCATTATTGGCTTCGGAGACTCTGTCCATTCGCCATCTTACCTTTATGTGATAATTTTGTATTTTTTATTCGGAAGCAATAAAGGAGTGCTCCTTGCTTTCTTCTCGTTTGCTATACAATCATAGTCCTGCTCTAATTTTACAAAGAATTATATCCTATATATCTAATTTTACAATTATACCTTAGACTTGTATTACTCTTATAACATACAGGGTGTTTCAAAAAAAGGTAACCCCGTCTCTAGGGTAGGTAAAACACTGAAAAATAATTGGGGTTTGCTTAGTAAAAAATGTTTGTAACGCCATCCGTTTTCAAGATACAGGGCGTTAAAGTAAAAAAAAATTTACGTATTTTTTACGATTTTGCCGAAACTACTGGCAACATTGTAATGAAATTTTATACGAATATGTTTTGGAAGCTGATACATCTCATGAATTTGTTTTTATATCTTATTCTCATAGAGGGCGCTAGTTACACGGATCGTACTAAGTATTATTCAATATAACTTTTTTAAGAGTATAATTATTAATCAAAATTTCAAGTAAACTTAAACATCATTCAATTTTACACGAAAAAGGTACTCTTGGTAAAACTCGATACTGTGTACAGTTTTCGAAATATTTTGATTTGAAAATTATGAAGTAATAATTGATGCTGGTATAAAATAGTTAGTAATTAAACAAAATTCACAAGAAGAAAATTAAATTAATGAAGAAGAACATAAAATAAAATTCAATTACAGTAAGTGTTCAAAATGCCCTCCGTTTTCGCGAATATACAAGTCTATTCTTTTTTCTAAAGATTCCATTAACCTTCTAAACGGTAAAGGATCATCTATGATGTCATTAAATTGACGTTGAATTCTTTCTTCCAATTCTTGGCGTGAATTTACCTCTGTAGCATAGACTTTTTCCTTAATATACGAACAAACTGCGTAGTCCGAGTTAAACATACCTTGTCGCGTAAAAGTGGCCTCGTCCGTAAAAAGAATGCATTTTAAAAAATTTGGATTGTGGACTGTCCTTTGTTGCAATGTTTCACAAAAATCCACTCTAACCGGTAGATCATCTGGCAAGAGCTCTTGGACTTGTCTGTAATGATAAGGATGTAATTACTGTTCTTTCAGTATCCGATAAGTACTTGAAGAAGAAGTATTTGTTTGTCTTGCTATATTCCTTTCGCTAACTGTTGGATCTTGGTCAAGTAAATTTAAAATATTATTTTCTTTATTAATTGTTCTTGTTGTTCTTGGTCTACCAAAATTTATTTTATTTGGTCTCACATTCCCAGTTTCTCGACAACATCGTTCAACGGCTCTAAATGTTTTTTTACTTGGTAACTTTTCTGCTTAACGTGTCACAACTGCACTAGAACATTCGCCTAAGGTTAATAACATGTCAGTGTATTCAACATTTGGATACATTTTGATTTGATTTTACAAATAACAAGGTTGCAAAACTCCAATTATTGTTGATTTATCGTCATAATAATCAATAAATGTCAAATTTCTATGGCACACTTGGAGAAAATAGAGGTATTTCTATTAGAACTTTATGATTACTACCAGCATCAATTATTACTTCATAATTTTTAAATCAAAATATTCCGAAAACGGTACACAGTATCGAGTTTTACCAAGAGTACCTTTTTCGTGTAAAATTGAATGATGTTTAAGTTTACTTGAAATTTTGATTAATAATTATACTCTTAAAAAAGTTATAATGACTAATACTTAGTATGATCCGTGTAACTAGCGCCCTCTATGAGAATCAGATATAAAAACAAATTCATGAGATGTATCAGCTTCCAAAACATATTCGTATAAAATTTCATTACAATGTTGCCAGTAGTTTCGGCAAAATCGTAAGAAATGCGTAATTTTTTTTTTCTTCAACGCCCTGTATCTTGAAAACGGATGGCGTTACAAAAATTTTTTACTAAGCCAACCCCAATTATTTTTCAGTTTTTTACCTACCCTAGAGACGGAGTTACCTTTTTTTGAAACACCCTGTATATTCAGCTTGTTTTGAATTATTTACTTTTCTTGTGTGTTTTTTTTTATTTTTTCTCATCTTTTTATCTTATATAATTTGGGATATTAGACTAGGATACAATTTGACGCTCAGGCGTCGATCAGAGCATTTAGACGAGACAGGTGGACCTCGGATAGACTTAGGGCTTTGCACGAAGGGAAAAAAACATAGGTTATAAACTTAATCTAATACATAAAATATGTTTATACAAAATTTGATAAATATTACAATCTTCTGAACTTGTTAATTGGGTTAGGTTATACGGTTGGATGATTTTGGGTATTTTGGTTATTTCTTCATTTAATATTTTTACTTCATTACTTATTTTAGGACAGCCTAATATCATGTGCTCTGTTGTACCTTCTTCTCCGCATGGACAATTAGGAGAATCACTTAATTTTATTTTATATTTATACTGCGGAGTTAAAACATGGTTGAACCTTAATCTGCACAATACAGAGAAAAACCGCTTACTTCTCTACAGTCTTGAGAACCAAGATTGGCTAGGAGGCTCGGTAACTATGTTTTTATAAAATTTTCCTTTTGGACTGCTTCTATACATTTCTCTCCATTCTGTTAGTAATATGGGCTTTACGTGGCGAGCAATTTCATTGTGAGGACATTTATACTTTAAATATTCTCCTGTTCTACTTCCTATTTTAGCTTCTTCGTCTACTTCTTCATTTTCTTAACTTAAAATGTATATACAGCATTCTTATCTACTCTGAAGGACCTGGTGTACAATATTTCTTCATTCGCTTCTATTTTGTGCTTTTCTTTTCCAGTCCCTTACCTTCCCGTGTTTAAGGTCTTTCTCCACTTTACTAATCCACCTCGTTCTGGGTCTACCTCTTCTTTTGGGGCCAATTAATTTTCTGGTTATTACTAGTTTAGGCATTCTGTTTGCTGCCATTCTTTCCACATGTCCCAACCTTCTAATTCTTTGTGTGTTGACGAACTGGGTAATGGTAGGTTCTTTGTATAAAGCCAACAATATTCATTGTTGGTTCTTCTCTCCCAACCATCTTCTGTCTTCCGTCCTCCGAATATGCGTCTCAATATTTTCCTTTCCCATCTTTCCAGAGTATCCTCTTCCTTCTTATTTAATGTCCATGTCTCACCGGCATATGTTACTGTGGGTCGAATTACTGTTTTATATATTCTGAGTTTACCTTGTCTAGAAACGTATTTTGAGTTCAGTATGGCTCTTAAACTACCTAATTTTTTATTCCTTTTGCTATTCTGGCTTCGAGCTCCCATTTTTCTTTTCCATTTTCATCGAAAGCTACACCCAGGTATCAAATGTGTCCACCCTTTTAAAACTATAGCTTTTACCACTTACAGACTTCACACTAAAGTCTTCTTTTTTCCCTTCTGTCCCTCCCATGATTATATATTTGGTTTTGTCTTCATTTAGTTCCAATCTGAATTTCTGTGCTTCTTCGATGATTTTCTTCACACCTCTTCTTAATTCTTTCTCGGTTTTTACTAGGATCGTTAGATCGTCAGCAAATGCCAACCAGTGGTGCTCATTTTTCATGATCGTTTCTTCCACCTTCATGCTGCATTTTCTGATTACAGTTTCTAACACTAAGTTGAATAATGTAGTGGATACAGGATCTCCCTCTCTCAGGCCTTTTGCGACCGTCAATTGATCTGATATGTGACCCTGCCAAGCAATTTCACATGTAGAGTTATTTAGTGTCATTTTAACTAGCCGGATCAGTTTCTTTGGTATACCCAAATGTTCCATTGCTCGATACATTTTGACTCTATCGACTCTATCATATGCTTGTCTAAAATCAACAAACAAAACATGCAGGGGAACTTTACCATCATAACAAGTCGTTTGTATCTCCTTGAATGAGAAGATTTGGTCTACAGTAAATCTGCCCTTTCTAAAGCCGGCCTGATATTCATGCAGGATTCTTTCCGTGTAGCAATTTAGTTTATTTCTCAATATTCTTGCCAAGATTTTGTATACCGTGTCTAATAAGGCTATAGCTCTATAGTTGTCACACTTCAGTTTGTCTACTTTTTTATAAGCTGAGAATGATGAAGGTTATTTACGATACCAAATGGGAGAAAAACAACTTAAAATTTGTAATTGCCCGTAATTCATTTATGCTACTGGCAAGAATCACCGTTTCATCGGCATATCTTATGTTGTTCGTTAAATATTTAAAATATAAGAGAAATAAAATAATTGCAATATAATAATTGAAAAATAATAAATATCATTAGTGAAAGTTAATCATAAAATATTTTATAATATTCTAATAAGAATAATATTCTAATAGCCTTCTCTAATAAGAATTATTCTCGATAACTAGTTATTTATATTATTAATTGATCATACCTTGTCTGTCATCCTATCCAAAAACGGTTTAATATCATCTTCTTCGGCGTGGAAAAACTTATCAGGATGTCCCTCTGCAGCTGCATACGTGAGTAGATCGATAGCAGTCAATCTGGCTTGCTTTCTGGTAGGTACGAAGACGATTGCTGGTTTGTGCGGGCTATGACGCAAAATAGCATTGTATACGGGCTTAGCCATCGCTATCAATCGTGAGGCGTTGTGAGTGATGTTGATGCTTTGAACGTGAAGTTCCAGATTCACGGGACGGACGCTCGGATGGAAGTTGAATGTAGCGTTAGAGTTGCAACCCAACCATTGAGCGACGTCCTTATAGTCAGCCAATGAAGCACTTAGAGCGATAATACGAATTGGTTTCTCAATCTGTGACGAGATGTACCTGTAAAAGAATATTAAAGTTTAAATTTCTAGATTTAAAAAAGTTTGCCATAAAAATTTGTTGAATAAAATAAAATTAAGTATTAAAATATATGTCGCATATATAAAAAATTATAATTCACAAGATACATACCTCATTCTGGAACATACAACTTCTATCACTGGTCCATCCTCACCTCCAAGAAGATGTAACTCGTCAACAATAAATAGATTAACGTTCTGTACGTTTTTCCTTTGTTTCCATCTTCGGGAAAGTACGTCCCACTTCTCGGCTGTTGTTATAATTACCTAAAAACATAAACATATGAGTAGTGAATCTTCTTCTTCTTCATGTACCATGTCCTTTCAGAACGTTGGTTACCATCATAGCTATTTTAATTTTATTCACTGCCACCCTAAATAGCATGCTTGTATCTACACCATACCAGTCTCGCAAGTTCTTCAACCATGAGGTTCTTCTTCGTCCTGGACTGCGTTTGCCTGCTATTTTTCCTTGCATGATGTTTTGTAGCAATCTATATTTGGGACCTCTCATTACATGTCCGAAATATTCCAGCTTTCTCTGCTTGATGCTTTTTATGATCTCAGTAGTCTTGCTGAGACGTTCTAGTATTGTGGAGTTACGAATCTTCTCCACCCAGGAAACTTTTAAAATTCTTCTATAGCACCACATTTCGAAAGCCGATTTAGATCGATTTTATTCACACTCCAGGACTCGACAGCATAAAGTAAGACCGAGAACACGTAGCAGCGAAGTAGGCGGATCCTTAATGCCAATTTTAGGTCTCTGTTACATAACACCTTGGACATCCTTCTAAAAGCAGCTCTAGCCTGCTCTATTCTGGATCTAATTTCGCCGTGATTTTCTGCATTACAATTTAATTGCTGTCCAAGGTGTACGATTTTATCAACTTGCTCAAGTTTGATATTCTTTACATATATAGACGGTTTTAAAAGCTAGGAGTACTGTATCGTCCGCATATCGCAAATTATTGATGACTTCGCCGTTCACAAGTATTCCTTCTTGTTTTTCAGAAAGTGCTTTTCTGAAAATTCTTTCGGAGTAAACGTTAAAAAGCAGGGGTGACAAGAGGCATTCCTGCCGTACTCCTCTTTTAATATTGAGAGCTTGTGATTCCACACCATCTACTAAAACTGATGTTGTTTGATTCCAATATAAATTTGCAATTATTCGAACATCTCTGCCGTCCAAGCCAATGTCTTTTAGAGCTTCGATCAATATAGAGTGCTTAACACGATCAAATGCCTTTTGAAAGTCAATAAAACAACAGTATATGTCTACAGATATATCACGACATCTTTGAGCAAGTACGTTCATTCCAAACAGTGCCTCTCTCGTTCCAAATCCGTTACGGAAACCAAACTGAGTGTCATTCAGGTATTCCTCACATTTATTGTAGATACGACCATGTATTACCTTCAGAAAAATTTTCAATAAGTGGTTTAACAAACTGATGGTTCTATAATCAGCACAGGTTTTTGCTGTTGTCTTCTTAGGTAGAGCTATAAACAGTGAGTTAGACCAACCATTAGGTAGTTGTCCGCTGGTATAAATGGTATTGAAAACGAAGTTATAGCCTCTAAAACATTGCTATCCTTTATAAGCTCATATATTTCAGTTGGAATTTCATCAGGACCAGTCGCTCTGCCATCTTTTGATGATTGTATGGCCTTTGTAACCTAACAGCGTGTTATTAGGGGTCCGTCGCAGTTAGTAATATCGGGAGGTCAACTACTCCTATCGTCTTCGAATAGGTTCGTGACGTAATTTTCCCATTCTAAGTTTGTCCTCTACTTCGAATATTACTTTACCATTTTCATCCTGTAGCAATGCATTTTGTTTCTTATTGAAGATACCAGCCGCTTCTTTTACTTTTTTATACATGTTAAACGTGTCGTATCTTTTTTCGAGTTCTTGAATGTCATGACACTGTTTGGCTAGATGTTGACTCTTTGCTTCTCGTATTTTACGTCGAATTTCTTTTTGTATGCTATTGTAAATGTAGTGAATGCAGTGGTATATCATTGAAGATTTGCAATGATATATTCTTGAAGAGTTTCTACTATCTCTTCGTTTACTAAAAGTATCATGAATTTTAAAACATCTTTACTTACTTGTCCTTTAGCCAAAAGTTTTAGATCAGTACCAGTTTCTCCGGTCAGCAATACTACTTTCTTTGCCAAAGCCTGTCCAAACTTATTATGCCAGTCAGCGAAAATCAGTTCAGCTAGGGCGTCCTTAGGAACTAGGTAAACACATCGACCTTCGGGATTTCGATCAAAGAGTCTGAGGATGGCAAATTCTGCTATTGTGGTCTTTCCCGATCCTGTAGGAGCGCCAATGAATATGTTGTCGTCTCCGTTGTATACTGAGTTGAAAACCTGCAAAATAGATATTTATTAGTATATTTTAGATATTTTATAATTATAGACTGAAAAAATTAGTAGGTAAATAGAAGGCCTTTTTCGTGACAATCTTTGATACAGGTACCTAAAACTGCTTTTGGTAAATTTGGTGATAACAATATGTAATAAACAAAATATGCTAAAGATTAAACGTCATTTCGCTTATAAACAATACATAAACAATACAAGATCGCTATTTGATTTTAAACACTAAAGGTCGATTATATGGAAAAGTGACACATTTTTACTGATAAAGCATTGAATATCCCTTAAAATAAAAATGTATAAAGTTCTTTTTTTAATTTGTTGCTTAATTATTGCAAAAATAGCTTCAAAAGTCAGTAGATGATATAGGGGATTCTGTGGGATAGGGAAATCAGTGAGTGCGAGAGAGAACGTGTGAAGTCATGGGAATTCAATAAGTGCAAGAGAGAACGTGTGACGTAGGTGACGTTAGTTTACGATCATGTTGAAACGTGAGGGTGACGCTAGTCTAGACGAGAGGGCGTTACAGTTTACAATTTTTATTTTATAAATAAATGTTATAATCATAAACGACGTATGACAGGTAGACCTACGACAGTTCGTTTCAAAGAGGACTCTGAGGACGCATGAAACACAATAATTTTTCAAAAACAAAGATGGCGAAATAAGAATAAAAGGAAAATATAGAAAAGTAACCCTTATAAATGTGCATACACCAACAGAAAATACAGATAAGACGTTAAAGATAGCTTTTATGAACAATTAGAACATATGTTTTACAAAATACCATCATATGACATAAAAATAATTGTAGGAGATTTGAATGCCAAGATTGGCAGGGAGGAAGTATACAAACAAATAACAGGGGGGAAAAGTAAACATATAGACAGTATTCTGAATGGAAAAAGGGTAATAGAATTTGCTTTCGAACACAATATGCGAATTAAGAGCACTTTATTTGATCACAAAGAAATTCATAAAGGTACCTGGGTATCACCAGATGGACAAACAGTAAACCAAATAGATCATTTACTAATAGAAGCCAAACATATGGGAGCCATAAAAGATAGCCGAAATTACAGAGGTGCTGATGCAAATTCGGACCACTTTTTGGTCAAAGTTAAAATGGAGCAAATAATACCCACAATTAATAACACTAGATGTAAAAAAATAAAAAGATATAACGGTGCACTACTTCAGGAGGGAGAAGTTAAGAAAAAATTCAGGCAGCAAATTGAAGAGAAACTGAAAAGCCAGACAGCAGTAAATGATATATAAAGCAGATGGGTACAACTAGAAGAAAAAATTCAAGAAGCAGCCGATTCAGTATTATCAAGAAACAGACAATGTAAACAAACGGATTGGTATGATGAGGATTGTAAGAAAGCCATTAGTGACCGAAATAAAGCTAGAATAAATAGCATAACAAGAAATAATGAAGAGAGCAAAAGCTTATGCAGCAAAAAGTCGGGAAGCAAAGAAGATCTGTAGAAGGAAGAAGCGGTCAAATTTAGAGCAGAAACTAGTTCGTATTGAAGAAGATTTTTTACATAAACAAGTCAGGAATTTCTACCAAGAAATAAAACGAGACCGAACCCAGTAAAAAAACCACATCAAGATATTATAAAGATGAAGAGGGGAATCTGTTAGGAGGAACAGATGAAAAATTAAGAAGGTGGGCCAATTATTTCGAGAACATATTATGTACGGACGACCAAGATGAAAGAGAACAAACGCAACTACAACATGAAGAAGTAAGGGACCCAGATGTAAATAAAGAAGTACCTACCAAGGAAGAAATTATAGAGATCATAAAAAACTTAAAAAACAACAAAGCACGTGGTGAAAATGGTATCATTGCTGAGTTTTTAAAAGAAGGTGGCGAAATGGCGTAAAAGTGGTACGCGAAGTGTGGATCAAAGAAAAAATACCCAATCAGTGGAAAGAAGGAATCTTTGTCCAGTCCATAAAAAAGGAGACGTTACATAATGTAAAAATTACAGGGGAATAGCTCTACAAGATACAGTGTATAAGATTCTGGCCATATCAATTAGAAATAAAATTAAAACAAAAGTTGAAAATTGTCTAGGTGAATATCAAGCAGGTATCAGAGCAAACAGATCGGAACAGACCAAATTTTTACAATGAAACAAATTTTAGCTAGCTCATATGAATTCAACCTAATATTACACATGCTGTTTATTGATTTTAGACAGGCATATGATACTATAAAAAGAAATAAAGTATATGAAGCACTAGAATATTTTGAATTTCCACCAAAAATAGTAAAACTGACTAAATGCATACTCACTGATACTAAAAGTAAAGTCATGTTAGAAGGACGGGTTTCGGATAGCTTTATCACCAATAGAGGTCTGCGACAAGGTGACCCGTTATCAACAGATTTTTTCAATTTGATCTTAGAAAAGATTTTACGAGAATCTAGGCACAATATATCATCACAGGCATCAATGTGTAGCATATGCACATGATGTTACCTTAATAACAAGGAGACCTGCAGAATTAGAGAAATCTTTACTAGAATAGAGACAATAGCCAGAGAATATGGTTTAGAAATAAACGAAGAAAAAACAAAGTATATGGTGATGAGGGAAACGAAAATCATCTAGGACAGTCCTTTAAGATACAAAGCCCAAGTAAAGAATATAACTTTGAAGTTGTTAGCCAATTCGATTACTTGGGAGTGACACTAACAAATAGGAACGAAGAGTTGCTGGGAGCCTAACTAAGATACTGAGGCCGAAGATAATATCCAGAACAGCAAAAAAACCGAATATATACAACAGTTATCCGACCTACAGTACTCTATGCTAGCGAGACCTGGACACTAAATAAAGATATGGAAGAAAAATTAGATAGATGGGAACGAAAAATTCTTAGAAGGATATATAGAGGTGTAAAAGAGGGGAACATCTGGCGAAGAAGAACGAATGAAGAAATAATGCCAATATATGGGCAACCAAAAATAACAAGACTCGCTAAAATTCAAAGATTAAGATGGCTCGGGCGTATAGCAAGAAGGAAGGAAGGAAGAGTTCCCAATGAATTAATAAAAACGGAGGCTGGTACAAAAAGAAAAAGAGGCCGCCCCCGAAGAAAATGGCTGGAGTTGGCAAAAGAAGATCTGAAGTCGCTGCGGGTACAAGATTGGAAAAACTTAGCACAAGATAGAAAGAAATGGAAGAAAACCGTTGAAGCCTTGGGCCCTTGAGGCCTGTTCTGAACTATATATATATATATATATATATATATATATATATATATATATATATATATATATATATATATATATATATATATATATATATAAAGATGGCGACCATTCTTCTCCTTCTTTCATACGCCAAGTGCTAAACGCCTTAAAGTACAGGGTTGCGCGACATGTCACGTGATAGGATTTAAGGAATACAATGCAACTACTTAGAAAATTTCAAGATGAAGGTTGTTGTGCTTCTTCTTTCACACAGCAACTCCTAAACGGTGTATCACAGGGAGACGGACGATAGCTCGTTTTAAAAAGGACTCTGTATGCAACACAATGATGTTTCAAAAAACATAGCAACCACTCTTCTTGTTTCACGCGCTGCTCGATGATTAGCATGTATACCGTCTGGATAAAAAACAGCGTTTAGCAAAAAAAATATTTTATTATTCAAAAAAGTAGATCTATTTACTATTAAAATTTAATTATATACGGATACAAGTTTAGATATTAGAGTTTTTAATTGTTGTAAGATATTTTCGTTTGGACAGGGCACCCCAAATAGATTCCAATTAAATGGCCTGCCGCAACAACTTTTCTTGTAAATTCGATAAACTTAAATTATTTATAAATTTATAATTTATACATATTATAATAATTATAAATATAATTTATAAAGTATTTTGACGGAAAAAAGTATATGTGGCCATCAATCCATTGAAGTGCGAGAAAATATCTTCAGCTATTCCAGGAAATATGTCTCTTATCCGCCCTCTCTGTGACTTGCTAGTAAAATCATTAGAACATTCTAAATAGTATGACATTATAAAGTGTATAGGACCACCCAGCATTTTATTGAAAAATGGCATTGATGTGAGCCTTATTAGGTGTATTAAGGGAAAAAATATCAGTAAATTGAATATTAGGGAATGATGCTGAGAAATATTTGTTTGGAGACACTACTGTAACCAAATCACCATTTGTTGCCTAACGAGAGAATGCAATTAGATTTTGATAAAAATGACTATGCTACAGCTCACTACAACTATACCGAATTCTTTCCCAGTTATGCTCATTCGTCAAAAAACATCCCATCTTGGATTATCAGGCTTTTAAAAAATATGCCTTGTTTGCGTTCGACTGCTCCAAACATGATGATACTTCATTCAGATCAGGATCTGTTGATGTTAAGTTGAAAATCGAAGCAGATGAAGGTTTTCCAGCAGGCACTCGAGCATACTGTTTAATTGTTCACGACAGCCGACTCGAATACTTTCCTCTAAATGGGTAGTTTGTACCCAAAGAGCTTACCATTGAAATTGGACATAAACGATGTCATTATATATTTACGTCTCCACGACCGTTTGCTACATTGAGTAATCAAGATAAGAATACTGCTGCGTACTTGGAGAAAAACGTTCGTAGTCTTTGGTATTCTAATGGGATGTTGAATATTCCAAAATGAATAATATACTAGAATCTAAGTTGTTGTATGCAGCTGACTACATTTATACGTTCGCGGAGAACGAAAAGCAGAATTTTTTAAAAAAGAAATGTCATATTTTTGAAATTTTTCGTATCATTATTGATACCTTGCGCTACTGGAAATTTTATTCATAATGCTAACCCTTGCCACGCCACTGGATTATTTTTCTGTACCGAAAGAAATGTGGATCACCTCCGCCAATGGTTTTTAAGTATAATATTACCTATTTAATTTTAGACTTTTTTAAATAAAAGATTAAACGTATTATTTTAGTTTTATTAAAAAAACTGTTTTCCTTTTTATTTTTTTACATATTTATTTTAAAACATTTTAAAATTATATTAATCGTTAGAAATACATTTATTACTAATACGATAGTTAAAAGTATAATCGATGAACTATATTTTGGTGTCCTTTTGAAAAATACTGGAAGATGTCCATAGTTCACCACATCATGATCCATTAGAGCCCATTCAGTTCGATTACAATCAGTTTTTACATTGTTTAAACATATCGCCAGGTTCTTAACATTGTTTGGAATGTTTGCGTAAAGGACATTGTTAATAATAGTTGTGAGGATGATGAACGAGGTTGTTAGTTGAGGCATCTTGTCGGTTGAATTCTTTTTAACGGGAATTGTGTTGTTTTTGATAATTTTTTTTCTGGCAAATGAAAGTCTGCAAATCGTTTTGCAATTGCAGTTCTATCTTAGTACCACTGAATATCGGCTTTTAACTTTTGTATTTTTCATAAAATTCTTCTAATCTACACTGTATGGAAGACATTGATGAACTGAAGCACGTTTAATTTTATATTTGTTTGAAATTTTTCTATATACTATAATAATAATATAAGAGTATTTCAAAAATTAAATATTTATTTTTTAATATTTTTATAATAAAAATTGTAAACTGTAACACCCTCTCGTGTAGACTAGCGTCACCATCACGTTCAGTATGATCGTAAACTGTAACAACACCTACGTCACACGTTCTCTCTCGCACTCATTGATTTCTCTATCCCGCACAGAATCCCCCTATATCATCTACTAACGTCAATTTTTTGAAAATGATTAATAACTTTTCTAAAAGCGCAGAACAAACTTTAATTTATCGTGATAATAGGGAGAATATCACATAATATTCAGCTATATTTCGATATTTTTCACATTTGGTCCCGGTGAAGATAGCCTTAAATTAGTAAATTCAGTTTCAAAGAACGAAATACTGCGTTGGAAGTGTTGCCATATCCGTATAATGTATATGTTATATACTTCACATACAAAGCAATTTTATGAATTAATATTTGTTTTATAATACTACGCTAAATACTATTTTAATTCCATAATTTCATAAAATTCTGGCAACTGTCAAATGTGTTTAACAAATCATACAAAAATTCTTGATAAGTCAAAAACAAACAATGTCAGAATTAAAAGAAGTCCTTTCTAGAAGAAGGATTCTAGATAAAAACTTCATCTACCCTCAAATGCTTCACTTCAAATATCTACCCGGTAACTGTAGATAAATTATAAATATCTACTCAAGAAAACGATGTCACTAATACTGTGAATAAACTAAAACTTACCTGTGTTTGTATAGGATTAAATTGTGGAAATTTTTCTGAGTACAAAGACTCAAATTGTTCATTTCTCAAAGCAGTAATGGGCAGCGGTTGCAAGTCCAACAATTCGGTAGGTGGGAAGTTTTTCTCGGGTAAAATCAAATGTCGAAACGATACAGGTAACTGAGTTTCTGCTCCGATCCATCGATCCGAAACAATTCTGAGGAAATACTGAGGAGGTAATGGTTCAAAAATCGGAACAAAGAATTTTACGGAATGTTCATCTTGAGCATATTTTGCTTTTAGTAGAAAGTATTCATGATGAAGTATAACTTCGGAGTCGACGTCTTCTACAAGTATCCAAAATGCTTCCGATACTCCGTGTAGTTTTTCTTCCCATTGGAAATCGGGCGTAATGGTCAGTTCAACTTTTAACATCGATCTTGTTATAGGCTGGATATGAGTGGATAGTTCTAGTTTTGGAAATTGATGTACATATTTGTGAATTGTTTTTCCCAATTTAGGAACGCGTACCAGTTCACCAATTTCGTTGGGACCCAAATCGTATAACCTGCAACAGAAAGTAATATAGATATACGAAGCAAGGGAAAAATAAATAGATAAAAAACATGTGTTTCATTTTGGTGAATATATATATATATATATATATATATATATATATATATATATATATATATATATATATATGAAAGAAGAGTATAAAACAAATATATGTTTGACATACCTCTCCCATGGGAAATTCTTTTTCTCGATTTTCTTAACTATTTCTTCTGGCATCTTCTTAAACTGTCTTAACGGAGACATCGACTGCCACATCCTTTTGTCAACCATTTTGCACAACGCCAAAGATTTATCAGCTAATTGGGCCCATCCTCTATGCAACACTATTTCAAAAATGGCCCTCATAAGTCTCGAAGCCGACTGTGTGACGTAAACCATGTCCGACATCAAAGCAAACCCTTCCAATTTCAACTGAGAGATGTATGCTTGAAGCAAAATGTTTACTTTGGCGCTAGGTTCCTCTATACTTTCCTTTATCGGTATCGGAACTCTTTCCATGAGCTTTTGTAGTTCTAGTTTCTCTTCTTCTCTCACTGTTATATGTTTAAACTCTTCAGATAGAGAAAATACTCTAAATAACTCGATCTCACTTAACATCGGTTTTAATAACTGGTTGTAAGTCATCATGGTGTCATAAGTACAATAATAGTGTGAGGCAATTCTTCCTATTTCGGTCACTTGGAATTGTCCTGTTTTTCTATCGTATTTGACCAAACCACTTTTGTCTAATAACACGGCAGCTGTGTGAATCAAATCAGCTCTATGCTGTTCTAACAACTGGTCATGCTTTAAGTGGTCATGAGATATTCCATAGAGGGTTGGTTGTCTCAACATTCTGATGTAAAGATATGTATAACCAAGCCATGTAACTGCATCTCTCATATTCTGTATAGTACCCAAAACTATCTCTGCGTTTAGCATATCAGGTAACTTAGAAATCATTTGAGACTCAATGGGCAACTGTTGGTTTAGTAACGACAGGTAGTATTGTAACTCACTGTGGTTTGTTATCAATATACCTTCGCCTTTGGTGTCGTACTGAGGTCTACCAGCTCTACCTAACATCTGAAGAACATCCAAGGCGCCCAATTCAACCCATCTACCTTTCTCTGGATTGTAAATTTGAGTTCCTTTAATAATTACAGTGTGGGCTGGTAAGTTTACACCCCAGGCTAAGGTTGCAGTTGATACCAGTACCTGAAAGGAAAACAAAAATTATTTTTTATGGAACAAGAAAGAAAAACGAAAAGAAATATTATTAAATATGAGAGAGGTCTCTGTAACAGTAAGGGCCGATTGTTGGAACGCTAATCAAAACTTGATTGTAATCACAGATTTAATTAAAATCTGTCAAATACGTTACATTTTGAGGTTATGTTGACTGAATTATTTTATTCAATTTTATTATTTTGAGTTTTAATTTAAAATAAACCATAATTAAACTCGTTCTGGTGTTAATTTGATGTTTTTATTTATAAATCAATAATAATAATAAGCAATTTTTAATAATTTTGACAACAGCTGTGACGTATTTGATTGTAATTAAATATTTGATTGCAATCAAGTTTAAAATTTGATGAGAAAACATGATAGTACATTTTTTCTTTGATTGGTTCTGAACCTTCCTGTTCGCATTTCTCTTGATAAAGTTGATGCATCTTTCTATTTAAATCTGTATTTAAATATGTTCTATCTGGAGCATCACAAAGTGTATAATGGCTCTTATAGCAAGGAAATGACTTGATGTGTTTTTTGACTTACGTGACATCGATTTTATTAGTTTTGTCTATGCAAGAAGCTGGTAAAGATAACGATTACCTAATATGTAAACATATGTTTAGAGGAATTTCAGACAGAGTAATCTATATGATACTGAAAATGAAAAGAACTTCAGTTAAGGTAGTGCAAGTATGTGCATCTACATCACCATATCTAGAAGAAGATATAGAAGTATTGTATGAAGAAGTGACAAAGGCCCTCGAAGAACTTAAAACACAATTAACAATGATCATCAGAGATTTCAATGCATAATTAGGAACAAAGCATAATGATAAACAAACTGATAGCAAATTTTGACTACGGGTGAAGTCATGATAGAGGCGATACCTTATTAAATTGCCTGGAAGAGAAGAATATTTAGCTGATCAACCAAACCTCACTGTTGGCTACGAAACACAAAATAGAAGGGATGGCACAGAGAGAAAAATATGCTCAGAAGTAAGACATTCAAATATTTAGGAGTGTTACTGTATAGAAGAAAGGAATTTTGAAGACATTCAATGAAAAATGAAATAATGATTGGAAGTTTCTTAATAGTACAAAAAAAGCTTACCTGAATATGCCTATCAGCGAACAAATCTTCCACCAATGTCCTATCGACTCGAGTCATACCAGCATGATGTATAGCAAACCCATATGGCAATAAATCCTTCAACTCGTGATTTTTTACTTGTTCCGCTTCAGTCCTCAGTACCTCCATAGAAGCAGACCCTTCTCTCAAGAACTGGCCCAAAGTATCCTTCTCTAAACACATATCTCGAATAGCCCTTGCAGTTTTCCCAGTTTCTTTCCTGGAATGTACAAAAATCAAAACTTGGTTTCTGCCCGCATGTTCCATGGTTTTTTCGTAAACGATTTCGTTCATAACTTGGAACCGTTTCAGAGCTTTTTTCTCGGTAACACCGATGTACTGCTGTTCTAAAGCGACTGGTCTAAAACTGTTATCAAAATGGAACAGACCTGTATCATATTTGACCCTTAAGAAAGCTGCTACATCTTGATAATTTGGTAAAGTAGCAGACAGACCTACCAATCTCACATCCTCCTGAGTAGATTCAATCATGCGAATTGTTCTGGCTACAAGAGCTTCCAGCACAGGTCCCTCTTTCGTCATGTAATAAATGAATTTCATCAATAATAATTAATCTCACCAAAGATGTAAATGTTTTTTCTCCTCCTTTTCTAGTGATAATATCCCACTTTTCGGGAGTGCACACTATAATTTGAGTGGCTTGAATTTGCTCCCTAGTTAACTGATGATCTCCTGTCAACTCAGACACCGTTATATTGTAACTAGCTAACCTTTTACCAAAATTACCAACCATTTCTTGTACTAAAGACCTCATGGGAGCCACATAAATAATTTTGAAATCATCAGCATTAATAGTTCCGTCAGTGTTTATATGTTTACCGATTTCTCGCATCATGCAAAGAAGCGCCACGTTGGTTTTACCTGCACCAGTAGGAGCACAAAGCAATAAATTTTCGTCGGATTCTAAAGCCGTTTTACTTAATCGACTCTGGATGCGATTCAAGGTTTTAAAACCATCAAAAACGGGTTGGACATATTTGGGAAGTTGGTCTACTGCTACTAATTTTTCATTATCGCCAAATGGTTTCGGTTTTAGAGCTGGAACGTGAACTTCTTCATAACCTTAAAAAAATAATGATTATTACTACTGATTCAGGAATACATTAATCAAAACTATTTTTAAATATGCCCATACATTGGAGTATCAAAGATTCCAACAGAATTCTGGAATCTAACACAAATATGAAGTCTGAGTTCTAATAAATCTTCATATTTTCCTTTACAGTCCGTGGCTGCCAGCTTCCATTAAAAGCAAACTTACCAATATTCATCTTGGTTTGTAGTTATTTTTTTATACCATAAGTTTCAAATTTTTTTATGATGTGTAGTTTACACAATTTAATCCTGAGGTCGTAGACGATTATTTTCTCCAGTCAGCTTTATATTTGGTCCTTCAAGTCGGATCAAATGTAAAGTTGATTAAATAAAATATTTATCGGTGACATAAGGATGATGAAACAAACACACTTCGAAAGGCATTCCAAAATTTCTACAAAAACAATTATTTGTGTTTGATCTTTGCTTATGATTATCTAACTGAACTGTACCGAATGCGAATATATAATCTTAGGGTTGTTCATGATATCAAGATAACGCTTTATAACACACATGTATATATACAAGAAAATAATTGGATCGTAACCAATATGCGATATGTAATTTCGCCTGATTTAACTACAATTGAATTCTGTGGCTATTTAAGTTATATTATTAGTTAGATTATTATTATATACTTATTATTAGTTATATTATTAGCTAAGTTATATTTTTATATGCCAAAACTTAATATGTTGTCGACATATCAAGCTTTGTCACCACAAGAGTTAAAATGTGAACGGATGTTTTATATACATATCAAGTTTTGGATACCAGCTAACATAACCTAATTTTATTGTTGTGCATTTTACTGAAATAAGGTGGTTCTTCGGTTTTTTCAGAAAAGTATTAGTATAAAGTATGTCGCGTGGAAAGCTGTTAGTTTATATGGTTATTAGCCAACATAAAAATTTTGCCGTTTTAGTAAATATCTAAGAAACAGTATTACACACTAAAAGTGAAGATTTAAAAAATCAGTGGTAAGGGATATAAGAGGATTGAAAAAGTGTTTAGTTGATGCCGAAATTAAAGAAATAAGTTCAACTATACGCCATGGGGCTTACCGTGTTAAATGACGGCAAGGCACCTACATTTGTGAGAGGTAATAGTGAATTCTTTCTGGATATCATACTGGCTTCAACGGCATTTCGAAACAGGGTCGTAAGCTGGACTGTTTTGGAAGAAGAATCGCTCAGCTTACACAACTATGTGAGTTTTGAAATAGCTAGCAAAAGACAGAAACGTAAAAATGGGAATATCAATCTAAAGAGATGTTTAAATGGGGAGGTTTTTGTAGATGCTTTTGGCTTGATTGGTCCGGAATGAGAGGATTTGCGTGACTTAATTGAGGGTCTGAGTGATGCACAGGAGTTGGCTTGTGTAAGATCAAATGGGAGTTATGAAAGAAAACAACCATCTTGGTGGAACAAGCAGCTTGAAAATCTGAGGACAATCTGAGTTATGAAAGAAAACAACCATCTTGGTGGAACAAGCAGCTTGAAAATCTGAGGACAAACTGCATGAGAGTAAGAAGGGAGTGTAAGAGGTTAAGAAGAGCACAAACAGGAGATTTGGAAGAGAGAATAAATGAATTAAAGCGAATGCAGAATTAATACAGGAATGAGATAAGAAGATCTAAGAAAGAAATGTGGAGTAACCTGCTTCAGGATCTCGAAAGGGATATCTAGGGGCAGGGCTTCAAGATTGTCTGTACCGAATTGAAGGGGAAAAAGACACACTCTACCTGCTGCCTGCCAAGGAGAAACTCCGTTTAATATGGGAACTCTTTCCTCAGGTGGAGGATAGGCGTGAAAGGGTTATTGGTTTCGTAGATGCGGAACCTTTCACTAAGTTGGAACTCGACGAGGCTGTTGGGCGGATGAAGATCCGAAAAGTACCTGGCAAAGCAAATACTAGTAGGCTTTTCTGAGATCACTAAACAAACTGCTTGAACAACAGCTAAGGTTGTCCTTATCCCGAAAGGTAGAAGTGAAGAGGAAGAGGTGGTTTTAGGACCAAAAGGTCCACCATAGATGCGGTCACAGAAGTAATCTTTTTAGTTACGCAGGAAACAAAGAGATAGGTGGCTCTCATCCTGCTTGTCGTCAAGAATGCCTTTAATACGGCATCATGGGAAAAAATCATGTCAAGGCTGAGAGAATTGGATGTTAGTGAGTACCTGGTCAACGTAATTGACAGATACTTTACTGATAGGTCCATAAGAGAAAAAATACCAGCATCAGGTTGTCGCAGGGTTCAGTACTAGCCCCATCCAGTGGAATGTTCTGTTCGATGGGGTGTTGAGGCTAGAGATGCTAAGGGGATGTACTCTTGTAGCTTATGCCGAAGATCTCACACTGGTTGCGAAGGCGATTCAGAAAACGGACATGGCCAATGCAGCTAATACAGCCCTGAGTTGCATTAGTAGGTGGATCAAACAGAACAATCTACAGCTAACGCTTCAGAAAACTAAGGTGTTAATGCTCAAAGGGAGCCGGGAAAAATCATATCTTTGCTTTATAGTGGAAGGTGTGGAGGTTGCACCGGTTAAATCGATTAAGTATAGTAGAGTAGCAGAGAGAATGGGCTAATGATAGTGGAAAGGCAAGGTGGACGAAGGAGCTTATTCCCGATCTGAGACTGTGGTGGGAATGGAAGTTTATGAAACTAGACTACTTCGTGACGCAGTTTCGGACCGGACATGGTAGTTTTGGCACCTTCACAAATAGAATAGGCAAATCTGTCTCGGCAGACTGTAGTGTTTGTGGTGTACCGTAGTAAAAAAATAAAAACAAATCGCCATGAAGTTAAAAATTTTGAATTTCCCCCTACTGAAAACTTGTTCTACTTGACATATCAAGTTTTGGGAAATAGGCACAGAACTAATCGACTGAAAATTGAACTAAACCAAATTTAACTTAAAGATACAGTAGCAGTAAACAAACCAAGACACATTATCAACATTATGAATATTACGAGGAGCAATCCCAAATCATGATTTACAATGTATAAACGTACATAATATCCACCTCATAAATCATATAAATAGACATCGTATACGAAACTCAAGTATTAACAGCATACCATATCATTTAGTAGTCCTTGTACGCGGAAGAATTGCTATAACTTAGTTGGACCACTGTTGTTCTAGTGATAATATTTTAGCCAGGGCGTGCGTCAGGGAATTATAGTGCTTGAATTTATTCATTTATAGTTATAATAAATGTTATCATTTATATTTTATGATCAGAAGAATAACAAAGATAAAATCAAATTAATAACTGTTACAATGAGGTTTTCCAACAACATAATAATGTGAATTCGTTATTGTAATGCATTGAATTAATAATATTAAATGAAATATGTAAAAATTGTTTTAAAATTAAATGTAATATCTAATGGCGGTTTCCCACCAAACGGACAAAATAAAAACAAAACACAAACTCGTGTCCAATAAAACAAAATAGCAACTTTTCACAAACTTTTTAAAGACTGGCGTGTTTTGAAACAGTTCGTTTTGTTTTTCGCATCGAACAAAAGATAAAAGAGGGAATGTAAAGGTAGTGGGGCAAACATATTGTTAGACAGGAAGTGCGATCTTTAGAGGCCACTTTAAACAAGGAAAGAGAGTCTCTCTCCTTGTTTGACATCAAATTTAGTTGGGTTATGTTATTGTTTTTCCCAACTGTCACATGAAATTTAATTTATATTGAAGTTTTTTACCAATTGTGTCATATTTTAGACTATTATCGTTAATATTTAATTAAAACTTTCTCGTCTGAAAAATATTTTATAGCTATTCTTAATAAGTGTCAGAAAATTTAAATTTAGCGCCTTTGCATTTCCGGATATGTCCGCCATCAGAGACCACTTTTTTGGTCTCCTTTTCATAAGGATTAGATTCCCTCTTTTGTCTTATTGCTCGATGGTTTTTCGGGTTCCGAGTTTTTGAAACTTGAGTCTGTTTAGTGGAAACGGTCAATTGCGTTTATTAATGGACTACCTCACCTCTGAAGTCACAATGGGCGGGGCTTCGAAAACCTTTCTAAACATTTCTACACTAAATACAAAATAGAGCTGCAGTAAGTATAAATAAACCGTCAACAGTATGAATGTTACGAGGGGCACTCTCAAATCATGATTTTAACTATGTATAAACCTATATTTTCCTGTATTATGAAATACATATGAAAATATGAAGTAGACATCGTAGCATAAGTTGCGGCTGACCGTATGATTTATAGTCATTATATTTATAGTGATTATTGACTCAAGCAAGGCCTCTGGTTGAGTTCAAAATAGACAACTGATTGAATCCTAACAGGCAATATAGAAAATGAAAGGGGAGGGGATAACGATTATATTAAGATAGACAAAACAAACAAGATGACTGCCAAAACGGCACTACACAGCATCTTCGTTATTAATGGATGTATAGTTACATACGAGATATCATAGGACGCTATGGATGAAAATAGATTTACTATAAGACAAATTTTGATTTATTGACTTCAAGAAGGCCTCTGGTTGACTACAAAATAAACAACTGATCGAATTCTAACATGCGACATAGCAAATGAAAAGGGACGATATAACGAATCTATTAAGATATGTAATTGATGTTCTATCTTAATATATTCGTTATATCCTTCCCTTTCATTTACTATGTCGCATGTGAGGATTCGATCAGTTGTTTATCTTGTACTCAGTCAGACGCCTTTTCATCTATAGTGCACTATGATATCTCGTATGAAACTATACATCCATTAATAACGAAGATGCTTCGTAGTGCCCTTTTGGGTCGCCCTGTTTGTTTTTTCTACCCTTAAGTAATCGTTATAGCTCCCCTTTCATTTTCTATATCGCGTGATAGGATTTGATCAGCTGTTTATTTTGTACTCAGCCAGAAGCCTTCTAAGTCAATCAATCAAAATTTGGCATACGGTTTTGCTTTCGTATTAAATTATTAAAACAATATGTACAATTACAGTTTTGTTTACTATGAATAACAAATATAAAATATGCAATGTTAGTATGGTTTTCAAGGAAATTCAATGCAGCAACTTAAAATATTTGTTATAAACGAAAATTTTATGTTAAAAAAATTATACTAAAAAAACAAAAGTTAACGCTGGTTTAAATTTTATATCTGTATTCAAATTTACGAAATTTATGTAAAATGAGATTTCAATTTCTGGTTTCGATTTCGATCATTTAAGTGTCAAAACAACGTTGCAATTACTGCTTTATTATTTTTGTCAAACCATAAAATTCTTTTTATTTTACAGTAGGGAAGCTTTAACATTGTATATTGTATCTTCGTTGTTCTTAGTAAACAAATCTTTAATTGTACATACTGTTTTATTAACCCAGATATGCCTGACGTACAATAAATTGTACATTACAAATATCTTTTAACTTGATTATCTAAAAGTATCATATTTCTTGATAACCACCTAAATACTTAGCTTACTAAACAATAGAGTGTAGTTTTGAATTACTGTCTTTGAAATATTTGGCGATAATATTGTGATAAAGTTTTCAGTTTTGATAACATGGCCGAATTCGGAATACGATTTGCTAAGTAAGTAAATATTTGTTATAATGTATACAAAAAAATATTCTTCTTGTGTTTACTTATAGAAAACACATTTATATTTTGTTTTTACGATAAATATGTTTTTGTTAATTGATATAACACGTAAATTTGAAGAAAAGTATTAAATAATATTTTCATGTAAGTTTTAGGCATATCTGGGTTAATTTGATAGGAAATATGAAAGCAAAACCACACGCCTATGGAGTCTTACGTAGCATAGCCTGGTTTTGTTTACTTTTACTGCACGTCGAATTTGAATGAACTGTAGAACATACTTGCACACCAAAACAAACCGAATTTATTGACAAAAGTGAAGCAACTTATTACAAAGAATATTTTAATAATATTAACTAGACAAAAAGAAAATACCTTTTCTCTGCTTCCTAAATGACCCGTCAGGCAATTGACATCTCTTATTTGCCATAAAATGCGATCCCTGTGCAAACACCAAATCTTCAAAGTCGACAACATGTCTTGAACCGGTAACCTGACTACTGCCAGTATCCATATCGTCCATTTCATTCTTTCCTCTGCGGTGGCGGGAGGTAGATTCGCTATCTTCGTCGTCGTCATCGTCCCCACGGCCTGTTTCGAGCAATTTCAATATACGATTTAGAGATTGATCGTCCGACATCTTATCTTTAATTTTCTGACGTTCGGTTTCGCTTTGGGATTTGGCGAGAAGAGTACAATATAGAACTAGAAAGAAAATACAAACTTTATTACATATACATAAACATTTGCAGTTGAAAAGTTGTAAATGAACCACAGCCTACATCAGTCCCAAATATATTAATTTCATACTGCCAGAGCAGCTTACTGTTTCTTAGGCCTAAGGTACAGGATTGTGCGAATTAATGTGAACAGAGATCGAAATTCAGTGTTCATAAGTTGGCATACCTGCTGTGCCTATTCTGTCAACTGTTTTGTAAAAAAAAAAAACAACATAACCTCAAACCCTTATTAGTATATTGTTCAAAACACGTGCATTGTGTTTTATATCATTATTATATTTTGTTGTATCTCAGGCTATGTGCAAGTTGGTGTTATTTTCATTGATTTAACTGTACAATGAGGTTTAATTTTTTAATATGGATATTGCTCATAGGAAAAGAGAAAGGATCATAACACTTAGTGAGCATACACCAATGACTAAGAGGGACATTGCAAAGAAGTGTTGTGTAAGTTTGGGTTGTGTTGGAATTTTACAACATTAAAGAATTTTTCGCTGGTTTGGAGGCTAGGAATAATTTAGGCAACTTTTCACGATAAAACCTTTATTTCCACATACACAACTTTCACTAAACTGATTGAATTCCCACAGGGAAGAGCCACTAATATTTTTATATGACTTAATTTATATTTTTCTAATAATAATTACAATTTTTATTGGACTGACCAGAAGTCACCCTTTTTGCCCGACATTTTATAACGAACACATTTGTTTTTTCTGACAACGCGCAGGCGTTGGAATTTCAAGTTAAACATAGAACACATTGTGTCACACACATAAAATACATTAAAATATATTGTGTTGAGAATTTATTTCGGCAACAAACAAAATAATTAACCTAAAAAAGGAAACAGGGTCAGTTGAAGTGCAGCGGAAAGGAAAATGTGGAAGAAAACGGGAGACTCCTCCTCCTTCATCCCAGAAAAACAAGTTATGACCTCCAGTAAGATTTAGAAAAGGCTGGAATAAAAATTCACAACTCAACGGTACGCAAACGTCTTTTAGAAGGAGGGAGAAGAGCCGTGAGACCGCAGAAGAAATAACTTCTGACAGCGCCTACGATGAAAAAAAAGTCTAAATTGGGCAAAAAAAATACACTCATTGGAGTGCAGAAGATTGGAGAAGAGTGTTACTTTCTGATAAGACCCACTTCCTAGTGCAGGACCAGTGATCAAAATTCGTACGAAAGGCAGCCAATGAGTCACTTTCAGCTACTCATATTAACCAAACAGTTAAACAGTCCACCAAAAAAATGTTCTGGGGCTGTTTTTCATACTCAGGAACTGGCACTCTTATTCTCTTATTGAAGGTATGATGAACAGTGAAAAGTACAAAGCCATGCTAGGACAACACTTAGCTACAGAGCTTGACAAAGTAGACGCCCAAGGGACTGCAATTTTTCAACAAGATTCAGCTCCGTGCCATGTATCGAAGATTATGATGAAATATTTCAAGGATAATAATATTGCCCTTCTTGATTGGCCTGGGAATTCATCTGACCTTAATCCTATTGAAAACTTGTGGGCAATATGTAAGGCTAAACTGCAAAAATTTGACTGTACGACAAAAACAAAAATGGTGGAAGCAGTGACTGAGGTGTGGTATAGAGATGAAACAATCACAAACAATTGCAAAAAACTTGTGGGATTCCATGCCTAGAAGACTCCAGGAAGTCATAAAAGTAAAAGGGGGTTATATTAAATACTAATTAATGAAAAAATCTCATGTAATTGTATCTAAATTTACCTTTGGCCTAAATAAATCATATTTACAAATTAATTCTGTTTGTTTACATTAATTCGCACAATATTGTATATAAAGGGTGGTAGAAATTAATTGTTAATAATATGATTTGAAACAAGTAAAGTACAACAAGTGGAGACATCAAATATAAAGCAGAAGCTTTGAAAAAAATTGATAATACTGAGCAAAATAGAAAACTTAATAGACATTTATGAAGAGGACTTACTCATTTGTCGATGTTTCTTTAGCTGCTTGATAAAATCGAAACAATCGTATCCTAACAGAAGTACTAACTGATTTTCACATTCTCTGTCATCACTTGCATCTCTGAGAACGTTGAGAACTTCACCTGCTTTAGCTTGCGACACCATGGCATCGTCATATATTTTGGACAGCTTTCGTTGTAGCCAGTAGGCGTCAATGTCTAACGGATGAAGAGCCTTTTCTTTTTTTGACTCTTCCACTCCCCCCAACTGTAAAATAAGTCAAAAACATTAATACATATCAAAGCTGAACATTAGAGACATTTATATTGTTAATCCTATAGTCTGTCCCACCTTGACTTTACAGTACAGGTTCTTATGACCAACAGTGATGCCAAATTTTAACAGAAACAGGTTTGAAGCAAATATACTTTTTTCTATGGAATAACTAAACTTAGGAATTAATATTATTGACATTTTGTGGCCGTCAGGGGTTTTAAACCCTTTTTTTAGAAAAATACCTTTATGTGAATAAAATAAAAATAATTTTGTATAAAACATTTGTATATCAATGTATTTAAGCACATAAATATGTTATATCTTAATAAATACGTAGGTGCCTACATAAATAATTAATATGTATTTTTTAAACTGTGTACTTTACATTTCTTCTATACTCCCATCTTCCTTACTTTCACTGCCACTGTCGTCATTAAGGTTTATTATAACTGGGTCGATATTGTCCAGTAAATTATCGATATTCCACATCTGTTTTTCTATGCTAATACGTGTTGCACGTAATTATTCCATTTTTGTGGGGTAACTTGAGAGTATGCTTCATATATTAGATTTTCTACTTGTTCTTTCTTAAAAGTTTGTGTTATGTCTTGCCACAAATCTTTTTATTTCACTCCATACCAGCTCTATCGGATTTAGTTCACGGTGATATGGAGGTAATCTTAGCAACTTAACATTCTTACTTTTTGCAATTTCATCTAAGATACGCTCATCATACTGCGATTTAAAATGAGCTACAATGTCCAACAATTCGGATTTTAGGTAATCTTCTTTGAAATAAATATCCTTTGAACGCAACCACTCCTTTATTTCTTCCTTATTGTGAGAATAACTTCCTGGAGTGATACGACGCATTCTCCATTACTATTACAGTTTTATCAGGAATATTTTTAAGAAGAGTAGTTTTAAATCAATTTTCGAAAAGAGGTCCATTCATTTCGTCATGATAGTCTTCTGTATTTTTCTTTCCTAGAAAGGTTAGTTCGGCTCCATTATTAAAAACATCTTTACTTCCTGTATGCATAAAAACGAAGCATGGGCTACATGCAGTAGGGGGTTACAAGCCGAGACCACGAACAAATGCATCCCTATGTGACGATAAGGAAGTGTCCTTCCATTCATAATTGACATTGTGACCAATATTTACCCATGATTCGTCCAAATATACAATGTTGTAGTTTTGTTCCTGAAATGTACGTATTTCTTGCAAATATCGATGGCGCCAAGAAATAATTTCGGGTTTTTTTATCAACATTGACTTTTTGTCTCGTTTTGTGTACACAAATTCCATGTCCTTAATTAATGTATGCAGTGTAGTTGTGGAAAAATTAGGTAGATTCTAGAAAAATTAGGTTTACTACTGCTAATAGAGAATGCAATCTTGAGGGTGTATTCTTAGGAAAAAAGTCGTGCACTATTCGATAAAAAATACTACTTTTTGTTCCTTCATCATAACTTCTATCACGTGATAATGAAGTTAGCTTGTTCTTGGATCGTCTCTTTGCTGGTTGTAGCCCAAGTACTGCGTAGGATGAACACAACCGCGGATTTGGTCAACATCGTGAAAAGCCGTAAGCTGGAGTACTTGGGACATATAATGAGAAATCAAGGCAGATACTGGCTACTCCAATGCATTTTGCAGGTTAAAATTGAAGGAAAAAGAGCCCCAGGACGAAGAAGAATATCCTGACTTGCTAACCTGAGAGCATGGTATAGAAAGACCTCAACACATCTATTTCGTATAGCAACCAACAAAATCATCATAGCCAGAATGATCGCTAGGAAGACGCCAGAACTCATGGCTGAAAGACCTGAAGAGATAGTCCAATCGCTCATCCACAGAAATCTTTTGCGCAGCAGTTTCCAAAACCACAATTGCCATTTGGATCGCCAACCTTTAAAAGGAGACGACACCATGAGAAGAAGAAGAAACTAATAATTATAAGCTTATTTTATATTCTTTGTTATAATTTAATTTAGGTGAACTGAACTAACAATTATAATTTATTTATTCTCAACTGTAAGACAATATAAAACTTTACTTTAACTTGAAATGTTTTGAAAATTATCTTTTACGCAAACCTTCTCCTGATAAAAACAAACACATCAAAAAAAGAAGTATCCAATTTGGTGCAGTCGCTCTGAAGTGATGCCCATACAAATATTTCAGCTATTCATTTTTATTAATATAGGTTTTTAGTTGACACCTTTAAAAAACGTTAAATTGACTGTTACATTAATAAATTATCAATAAGTAATTATAAATCGGCTTAAACTGCAAAAATTGTATTTATATTATTAAAAATTTTAAACAAATAAAGTACTGATTTTTTAAAATCTTGTTTAAATTTTTTCGCATTGTTTGTTGTAAATTATTTGAGCAAAAGCTAACCTGTCATATCACTTATTATACTTAAAATACTTAATTTACTTTACTTACATTTTCTGCATGGATAGCACCATCCTCTTTGGCTTCTTCTCCCTCCTCCTCATCCATTTCTTCTCTAACTTCACCATACATATCTTCACCATCTTCTTCTTCTGACTCTTCTTGAAATTGTACATTAATACCATAAGTTTCATCAATATTTTCCTCCCCTGTGGTTCCCTTATTTTCCTCATTTCCAAAATCTGTTATTTTCTTCCCTAAGTTAACTAATAAAGCAAACCTTTCATCTGCTATCGCTCCTAAAATTGAAAAATGTTTTGATTATTTTTTAAATGTTTATTTCTTAATATATACCACCGTAAAATGTTGTAATAATAATGTTAGAATAACAATAATTCAGGAATTTTTTAAAATAGTGAAAGAAGATATAAACTTGTTTTTAAAAAAGTTTATAGGGAAAATGCAAGTGTCAACATTGAATCCTGTAACAAATTGAAAGAACTTCAGGAATTGTTGCATGGATATGAACTTGACAATATCTTAAATGCTGACAAACACGGACCGTTTTTTAAAAGTCTTTCTGATAAGAGTCATAACTGTTAGCAAGGATTATTTGACTATTCTGCAGCCAATATTTGCCTGCCAATACCACATCAAAATTACATCCTATAGATCAAGCCACCATAAAAAAGTCATTATATTGAAAAAAAGTTGTTATGTACACTATGGTTTTCCATCGTCATCAACAGAAGAAGCTGAAACTGAAGCTATTTCTACCTCCTGCAGAATGGGACACAGTGGTATCTAAATAAAAATATCCTTTGAGGACTGAGTTATGTGAGATGCTAAATTTATGACTGCTGAGACATTATCTGATGACAAATTGATTGATTTGGTAGATCAGAAAACTGATACTAAAATTTAGATGGCATAGAAGACTTTACATGTTACATGCACTATTGTTATGTTACATGCACATACAATATTACATGCACTGTATGGGTTTCCATCAAAAAGGCAAGAATAGCATTGAATACCTTAGAGAATTTTATAGAGTAAAGTTTTTTGCCAGAGCAGTAACTCTGGTTCTAAAACCAGAATTTTTTAATACCTTAGACAATGCTATAGACAGAGAAAAACGGAATTGGCTAAAGCAAAAAATAAATTACTGACTTTTTGTAATACCACGCTAGCTAGCTTGAATTTTTATTTATTTCACCTTTCTAACTCAAAATTAGTAAGAATTAATCTCAACCACTTTATATTAAATAAAAATCCACCTAAGTCGAAATTCTCCATAGGTAGAAAACTCAAAAACTTGACTTTTTGGCATTTCCCTTTATGTTTGAGCTATAGAAGTTCTACTATACATATTTTTAAAATAATCAATTCCCATTTTTTATTTATAATTAGAAATAAAATAATTACCTAACAGTGTTTCTGTCTCCTTTTTCTTTTCTCGCTCCTTAAGTCTGTCATTCTTCAGAACTTGTAAGACCTCATCAGCTGCTCCACACAAGATATCTCTAGGTTGGTCACCAAGTGCTTCTTGTAAAAAACTGAGTAAAACTTCATATGTTTGTCTTGTTTCTTGCGTTTTGGGTCTGTATATGATTCCTACCATTTCATCAACCCCTTCTGAAAGAAGGGTAGCCCCTTTCATTCTTGCAAAATCATATTGTGCTTCATCTCTTTTTTGGCGTCTGAAAACAAAAAAATTCAAGTGGGACAAAAACAAAGTAAAACAAAATTATGTAACATGTAGTGTATTGTACAATCAAAAAATGCGAAGAACAGTGATATTAAATTAGTGGTTGATATTCGTAAAATAATTCAAATGAGAACCTTTGAAATTGATGCACATGAAGAAATAGAACATGAAGCAAATGTGTAGAGGCTGCTAAAGAAAAGTTAGATGCTCTATGTGACAATTAAACAGTGAAGTTAGTAGATGAACCAAAATATACAAGAATTATAAATAATTAAAAGTAAGGTATTCAAAGTTAATGAAAAAGAGTAAATTTTTATATAAAGCAAGATTGATTTCTAGGAGATTTGATTAAGAATGTTTGTGAAGAATTGCCTGGGATACATTCCCCAGTTGGAGGTAATGGATTTTGACAATAGCTACAACCTTCCCACAGTTTGTACAGAATTAACTGGCAACAGCATACAACGCATACGATTCTCGGAGTGAAAACTGAAAAAATCCTGCCCACTTGATGGTTCTGTAAAATGATTTCTTCATGCTAAAGGAAAGAAAGTTAAACATACAATTACAATTTTATTGCAGAATATAATTTAAAACATCAAACACGAGTTATAGTATTACCAGAGATAAAAATTTTGATAATAGATAATTAATTAATCAAATACACTGGTTGATACTACTGGTTGATAATTCTCAATATATCAAGGGTTCAAAGATAGTACCTCATAAGTGATATTTTTATTAAAATCTGTTTTGTCATATAATCTAGTTTAGGACATACGGATCCATCTATTGGCAGTTCTAAAGAACCAAATATTTCAGGCCTTAGATGGAAATTGTAAGAGAACATAACTCATAAATGTGCTGTGAAAATATTTTAAAACCAGGACCTCCTATGATGTAGTTTGTACAGTACATCAGTGGGCATGTTTGATTGTTGTTGTTTTGATCACTGTTATTTGAAGTTGAACTGTATTTATTCTGTTTAAATACAACATAATTTGGCTGTCTAAAGCAGTGTTTGTGTTGCTGTTGATTAATATTTCTCTTATAAACTGTTTTATTTATTGGTGTCACTTACGAGGTCCTGTCTTTCGTACAGTTACAAGATACTGCACTTAAAAATCAAGTTTACTTGTGAGGTACTGTCTTTGAACCCTCGATATACAAATTAAATGTTACATACTTTCAGTAAATAATACATTAGCAGTTATAAGAGTAATGCAAACAAAAAATAGAACAAACCAGCAATAGGCAATAACTATCTGGGAACAGGTGAGTAGCTCTAAAATAAAATTACAGATGCTTTAGAAGAATGGTAAGAACAGAAGATGTTTTAATAATAATTGAAGTAAATAAAGACTCAATGACTATAAAAGAATCCTTGGGTGCTCACTACACCAATTATTATTTTAATAAATAGTTTAAATTAAGCTACAGATTATAATAAAACTGAACACAGAAGTTCGGAGATAAATGGAGATCTATACTTGACAAGAAATGAAACTGTCTGGTATATAATGATGCTATATCCCACTACGTTATGTAAAAATGAAAGATATACATTTCAGGCTGGTAGAACATGCCTATCTATACTATATTTTACAACAAAGTTTGGCCTTACAAATTAAATAAGATAAGTTTTAAACTTACTTGGCTTTACGTTCTTCAGCTTTCCCTGGTTTAGTTCTTTGCGCTCTATCCCCCATTTTAGTACCTATGAGCTTCCCAACAAGGGACATCACTTCGCCTGTAGCCTCATCCCTGCTTCTACGCTCTATAAGTCGTACATCGGCTTGAAGTACAAGATTGGAGTTCTAGAAAAATGTTTATATTAATATAAAACAGATACATATACGTTTAAGTTTAATTTTTAAATAAATACGTATAATTTACGTTAATCTGACATAACCTCAAAAAATAAAATCATACTTACGGCTTTGTACTCATATTGAAGTTGTCTCGCCGCAGCATCCGCCATGATTTAGCTTTTGTATTGTATAGATTATAAATAATTATTATTACTTTACATTAATGCATAAATACTAATATTGTGCATGTTTTTAAATTTGTAAACAGACGACAACTTCAATTAATAACCGACTTGACAATTGACAATGACTTTCAGTAATTGCCAAAACACAAACAAAATGTTGACATTTTCCAATGTATGTACCAACATTAAATTTTTTGGAAGTAATTAATACTCCGACGTTCGGAGAAAAAAGTAAAGTATGTAAAATAAAATATGTACCAAGAAAAATTGTAAAGGGATTTATGGAATTTATATTTAAATGTCCTTAAAAAGAGATGCCGATTAAAAAGTTTCAAAAATAATTAACGTGATTATGTTATAATGATTTCCCATTTCCCATAATATGAAGGTTCTTTTTGTAAACATACTCGTATTGATCAACATGTTAGGTAAAAAAGCGGTAAACAATTTGGATTAAATATGAGTTACTCTGTGGAAGTAGCTAAAATCACTTCATTTATATTACACAACCTTCTCTAATTAGGTTTTTTCTATAGCTCTACAGTTCCTTCTTTTTATTTAAAGCATTGTACTATTGTCGCCAGAAGTGACCAATCACGACGCAGATTGTCACTCTGGAGCAGTCTTTGCAGCGAATGAAAAAGGTTTATGACTTCGCTGATTTTGTGTCTTGCGTTCTGTCAGATAATTCTGAAAAAGTTGAGACCAAAGAAATGAAGCTTGAGGATTTCTTTGTTTAGCCTGACAACTCATCAATTTACAAAATAAACCATACAACACCACGACCCTACTTGAAAGACATGATTAAAGTTGTTGCTAAGCGAGGTATCTTTAATTTATTTTATAAAACAAGTTTTGTTTCCAACGAAACAAAAGACATAATTTGTTTTTAATTTAAATTTAAAGAAGTCAGGTTTTGAAAGAACCTGTCAGTCTTTCAAAACCAACAGGAATTACAGAAGAAAGGAAGCCAGCGATTTTGCAAAATGTGGTTACATTAATTCCTGAAAATCGAAGACAATTTTGGCAGAGCCTTCCCGTCAATGATGCAGCCGCAGATTTAAGATCGGAGTTTGATGATGTGTAATAAGTGGATTTTTTATTATTTTTTTTTAATAATTAATAATCTGTTTTGACTAAATTATTTGTTTTTCAACAAAATGTAGAGTTAAACTTAATGATGTTTTAAGAAAGTTCTTAAATAATAAAGTTAATAAAACGAAATGATTTTTATTGTCATCGTGCTTTCCGTTGAAGAAATATTATACTAAAAAGCAGTAACCTTAAACTAATTGGAGTTACTGCTTTTTTATGTAATTCATTCCTTAAAAGCAGTATCCGCCATTTTCATTAAAATTTATAAAAATAGCTTACAAAATAATAAACTTATTCAATGATATCAAAAAGAACTACAACACAGTTAAACAATTCCGGAATCCATAAATAAATATATGGTGGTTCAGCTCTTTTTAATAAAATCTGCATTATCTCGAAACTTACATTTGTGGAGATACTGCCTTTTTGGTTAGGACGGCAGTATAATGTATACATTCTATCTACAGCAAAAAGGTGTTTTACATTTACCCGGAAACACTTGGCAAAAAGGAAGCGACGATGTATGCTCAATGACTTTCTATCGAATTTTCTCGATATACAAGTAACATCGCTTGAAATATTCTGCGATTCGTGTGGGGGACAAAATAAAAAATTCACTATGTTTCGTTTTTGCATTATATTGTCCACAATACAAAACCATCGCCATTTGACGTTGTGGAAATCGATTAATCGTACTTTCAAGCATGGACGAATTTCTTTAATACTAAAACAGATTATTTGAAGAAATGTCCTTTCAGTTCCCGTCGAATATGAGAATTAGAAATACGGTGGATTCTGATGGAAGAAAAATATTACCACCATTGGTTTGATGATCCTCAGTGTCCTGCATTGGATGATATATCTTCAAATATATCAGGTAATAATATTTTATGCTTGTTATTTATATTTGAAATATAATACTTGTAAAAAATCATAATCTATTTTTATTTCAGATATGGAAAGTCAAAATGAAGAGAACGATGAGGACATTATTAGTTCAAGTGATACTGGTAAAGAATGACAAAAAAAGTTTAAATATTTAATTATTTTATATACCTATACGTTTGTATATATAATATGTTTATTTATACATTTATATTATTTTTACAATTTTTTAATAATCATACAAATCATTATCACCATCATTATCAGCTGTTTTGAGTTCACTGTTGGACATAGGCCTCCCGTAAATAATTCCAATGCATTCTATATGAATCATATAAAATATAATATAAAATATCAAATACTTACTTAAATACCAGTAATCCTTGTTATACGCATAATTCTTAATAACGCGATTTAATAAAAGCGAATTTTTGCATTTCACGCGAAAAGTTACTGATTTTTTCATGTGGCGGTCCCCCACTATTTGATTTGTCCGCCAATAGTATTAAACATTAAATACAGGGTGAGTCATAACTATTGGGACATTGACTAAGGACAGGTTATTTGGACCAAAATATGGCTATTGGGCCAAATATGCCTTAATAAAATGTTGCTGAGAAAAAAGATACATTGTGTTAAAGGAAATTTTTGTTTTTCGTTTTTTGCTAATAGCTTCCCTGTATATTTATAAATTGCTATCAAAATTGGTACAGAGGCATAATCTTTAGACAAGAAATAGTATTTTATTTACAATTCCACTATCAAAATAAAACTAATAACAAAGTTGCAACTAACGTAAGGTTTCCGTTTTGACGATAAATCAAAACTAAACACACTGTAACTTAAAAGAACTCACAAAAACTTAAACCAAATGTTCTACATGGCCCTCCTCCGATTTCTATGCCTTTTCTAACTTTTTTTATAAAGAATTTTCGGACGTTAAAAAAAATATTATTCTGTCCCCTTATAAGATTAGCTGCATTTTGAATGTATCTCCAAAGTTCGTCTCATGTATTAATTTTATTGGCATAAACTAAGGAATTCATATGTCCCCAAAAATTAAAATCTGGCTGGTTGTACTCAGGACTTCTTGGTGGCCATTGAAAATCACTGCCTCTGCCAATCCATCGTTGAGGAAATACGTCATTAAGATGATTTCTAACAGCTAATGAAAAATGAGGTGGCACTCCATCCTGCATAAACCACATTTTTCTTCTTACATTCAGTGACAGATCATCCAAAATATCACTAAGAGTATTTTTCAAAAAGAATAAATAAGAATCTCCATTTAAATTCGGAGAAAGAACATAAGGCCCTAGTAGTGGGTCGTCTATAATGCCACACCAAATATTCAATTTAAACTCATGCTGAAAATGTCTAGCTTTAATAGCATGCGGGCTTTCTTCTTCCCAATAATGACTATTTCGCCAATTAAAAACCCAATATCTGGTAAAAGTTGCTTCGTCGGTGAGCATAGTATTCTTAATAAAGTGTCAGTCATTGCGATGTTTATTCAGAATACGATGGCAAAACTGTAACCGTCGTGGAAGATCTGTTGGAAGTAAATTTTGAACAGGAGTGAAATGATAAGGATGGAGGTTCTCTTTCTTTAGAATTCTAACAATAGACGGCTGACTTACTCCTTCAGAAAGTTCATCTTCTTGATTAGGTGTGATTTTTTTTCGGTCGACCACCCCGATTTTTTAGTGTGAAATGACCCAGTTTCACCTAAACTACGATATAATCTTGCAAAAGTTTTGTGATTTGGTTGCCTTCTGTTTGCGTATAACGTTCCATACCTTCTGACTGCCGAGCGACCGCAAAAATTTTCTTGTGCGTATACGCAAATAATATCTCGCATTTCTTCATTAGTAAAATGATTGTGACGAGGCATTTCAATCAAAAAAAGTAATGATTACTTTTAAAAAATGCAACATTACACTACACTGTCACATCAAAAATAATTTACTCTGAACAAATGACATTTACCAACAACAATTATCTGACAGTCCAAAGCATACTTTTCATAAATGAAATAATATTTAAAATCCTTTTTTAAGACTCCAAGCAGTTCGATTGCGTTTTTATCGAAACGGTTGAAATTATCATTTTTAAACAAGAGTACCAATTTTACGTAAAAATGATGTTTACGTCATATTTTCTAATAAAAATTTCTAAAAAGTTTCATCAGAAAAAGTTTAGACTCAATTTGATCATTAGGAATAATCCACGTGGCGCCCTCTATGACAAAACGTAAAATTGTAAATAAAATACTATTTCTTGTCTAAGATTATGCCTCTGTGCCAATTTTTATAGCAATTTATAAATATACAGGGAAATTATTAGCAAAAAACGAAAAACAAAAATTAACTTTAACACCCTGTATCTTTTTTCTCAGCAACATTTTATTCAGGCATATTTGGCCCAATAGCCATATTTTGGTACAAATAACCTGTCCTTAGTCAATGTCCCAATAGTTATGACTCACCCTGTAATTATCTAAAAAATGAACTTTGTACTTAGTCCGACGGTTATTAATAAAATTTTCCTTGGTAGATGCATTCGATGAAAAGCTTGGCCGAAGCCTGATAATTTTATTTCCATCTAGTTTGATCGCTTCGATCATTACTCCGTCATGGCCAGAGGATTTGTTATTTTTCGTTATTACTGTTAATTAAATATACTGATGGCCAAAAAAGACATTTTGTATATAGTTATTTATTTGGATCAAAAGTACTTATTTGTAAGTCTTATCTAAAGATATATTATATAGGTACAATTGGTTAAGTTTTTACCTCTTCGCTATATTTTCTTAAGGCTTTTTCTTTTTTTTTTGCAAAAACAAAAAAGATAAGAAAGTTTATTTCTTTGGCCATCAGTATAGTGAAGTACATTTTGTGTAAAAAATAAAACCAGTTTAAACCTAAGTTAATTTAATTAGAAATCAATTATCTACGTATAAGATTAGATTAGATTATTCGCCTGGGCATTCGCGATATGAAAAATTTTTAGTTAGTTGTATAGATTGTTTAAGCAGTAAACACATCTAGGTAGAAGTGCCCTAATTTTTTTCTAATTAGTGTGCCACCATGTCAAACCAGTATAAAAATGTTTTAGTTTTGATTCTGGTTGCGTGTCTA